TGCAACAGACCAACTTACCACTTGAATATTTTGGTGCTTTCCGTCAAATGTTTTTACTTCCCGCAGGCAGACTCTGAAGTGGTCTTCTTGTAACTCTTCTATCCACATGTTCATGGCGTCCTGTGGCCTGCTGATACTAGCGTGACGTGTCGCGGCCAACACTTTTGGGACAGAAGGAAACCTCTGAAAGACAAAATGGATATCACTGAATCTACTTTTTTGGGTCACTAAGATTATTTTACAATATTTTTACATTAACATGTACAAAGCACCTGTCACGAGCGCATCATTATTTGATTTAATTATCAAACTACGGACTTCATGGTAGAAATAAGAAGAAAGGTCGAGATGCAAGTCCCAACTGAAATAGGAAAAGTTTGAGAAAACTCGCGGCGAATCGCGTATAATTTTGGGCAAGTCTAGTAAAAAAAAAGGACCCTATCCTCGCTATGACGTTTGACGCTTAACTAAAACCCAGTTAATACAAAACGAATTTTAATCAGCACTGCTATAGCTGTTTCGAAGCGTTTTTTCTATTCCGGTTATAAGCCCCATTAGCGATCCTAAAACCCCTTACGAAGATGTATAACCCCACTTATAAGCAGCAGTTTACTGCATACAAATAGCGCAGTGGTTAAAGCATCCGAACGGTGTACGGAAAGTCATAGGTTCAATTCCTGTCAGAATCAGATTTTTTCCTTGTCCCATGCGCGTGACATGTTAATTACATCATTTGTCATTTCTTCACCGAGCTTAGAATTTACCATCTTTCTTTATTTATTACACTCAAGACGAATTCGACATTGCTGATCCTAGCAGTATGCAGGACTCATGTCATACATGAACCCTGTATTAATATGGTCTAGCTCGTCACGAGTCCTTCGTAGCTCAGTGGTTAGAACATCCGACCGGTGTACGGAAGTAAGGAAGGGCATAGATTCAATTCCTGTCGTGGAGTCAGATTTTTTCAATGTCCCATGCTCGTGGCATCTCGATTACATCATAGTAGTACCCAGAGCACCCTTGGATCTGTATAGGATTCTAAGACCTAAGAGTGCCTGCCTACCCCTCCCCTAACCAAACATTTTGACTTATTTAGAAGTTATTGTTAACGTTGGGTTATGGGAGTGGTAGGTGGGCAGTTTATCCCTTCCCTCAAAGAAACTTTGGAATTGACAGTCAAGGGTAAATATTATTTGAACAAAAGGTTAAAACGTCGGTTCTTTCTAACTTAATCGCTCAAAACGCAATAATTCTTGGTGGTCAAGAATAGACATAATCCACAATGGTAATTTACCACCATTGTTTTTGTAACTGGGCATTAAATAAACATTTGTTTCAAAGTCACTCTAGTAGCATTAACTTCTTAAGTATAACTGAGTGGGGAACAATGCGGTGACATTTCGCTATTCAAATTCAATTAACTACACAAGTGACTACTTAACTTCCCCCTAGCAACAATCCCAATAATTGTCTCTACTAATAAGGGTAGGGAGAAAGCATCCCGGCTCCCCTGCAAATGTAGCTAACTATCTGGAAAATTTCACCAGTTCTAAGGCCTCCTCTTGGTTTGTACAAATAATTTGCGAACGCTTAAAAAGAAAACAACGCGGCATCGAAACCATACCTGAGCAAAGTCAACTCTTTCACATTTTGTTCCGCTGGTGAATGCGTTGAAGGAGGCGGCGCCGTCGAGGGCGCCAGAGGGCGTGCCACGAAACGCAATCCAGTTCACTACAGCAGATCCATTTGTACCAAGGCCTGACTCTAGCACGCAAATGCGGAAGCTGTTCTGTGTTACATCTGTAGTCCAAACGACTGCTGAATCGTGCACACGTAGCGATTCGTTTTCATGGCTGATGGATGCGAGAACACGGATGTTACTGGAGCTGGAAAATACCTGAGGATATTGCACGGTTCTGCAGTGGAGCAGGCTTGGAGATACAACGGTGAAATTAACCGTTCCATGTTGCAGAAGACTTTGTCCTGAAATGAAAATTTTAGAGCATTGGGTCATGGAACAATTAGGGAGGTGGAATGGCGGTTCATTTCGATTCTGTTTGGTCAAAAGCTATTTTCTGTAAACTGGCCACTCTGATTGGTTCCAAATTACTTTTTTCATCAAGACGGAACGTTTGCGGTCCGTAAAGTTTTAAGAAAATTGACAAATCATTCAGCAATGTCACAAGGGATATACGAGTGCGCGTAAACTAAACCGCTTAATGGCCCTTGCATACTACAGTCAAAGAGAAGGAGGGAATATGAACCTCAAAAGTTCAAACTGAGGATGTAAATCGTGTCTGGTAAAAATAAGGGTAAAATATAGTGCTACGGTTGGTTAGCTTCATTAATATTCAGTGCCAAGTTTTATCTCGAGTTGAAAACTGTTTTGATGTCCCCCACCCCACCCCTAAAAATCTCAAGTAACTCGAGTCTGTTTCTTTACTGTATTCTAGAATAAACTCATAAAGATGGAACGGTATAAATCTTACCCTCAGCTAGAAACGATGCTGTACACAAAATCAAAGTCGTCACCACTATCCGTGCACCGAGGAACGCCCCCATCATCGCAGAGGAAGATGCAGCGGCGAGGCGCTTCACTTGTGCTCTTGGGGTATCGTCGATACCTCTGACGAATTCTCGCCTCGTTTTCCATTAAAAGGCTGTATGGATTCAGTTGATCAAGAAAAATAATCTCATCTACTGTTTCCGGGTAAAATTTTAAGAGAATATAACATTTTAACAAACCGCAAGTAAAATAATGAGGGAGTAAAAAGTGAAAACCGCATTCTGATCAGATTGAAAGTAGTGTTGAGAGTATAGAACTTGATCGATAAGGTGACATATATAATATATTAAAATTATGATAGAATTGTGTAAGGCCATCTGTCCAAATTCTGGTAACATAACCTTACATTGATCTTCAAAAATAACAATGAAAGAATGGTAGTCATTTCTTAATCCTTTAACATTAATAGAAATTGTAACTCATTCTACTTTAGGACGTGAGCCTTCTATAGTGGAGCTTTGCCAACTTTTTTCAGACTGACGAGATTTGGCAGACGTAATGATGCAGTTAAATTTTTCATTTCAGTTATTTTTTGTTTTTCCTTGTTTTAGGGGGAAAGTAATGTATGCTAAAGAATTTGAAACAACGGCAAAATAAAAATTAACTACTTCGTACCATGCGGTACAAATACACTCTGTCAATGAGCTTGGGCGGTGACATGTTTTGAAGAGCGGAAAAATTATTGATGTTAAGGGGAAGAGAAGATTTGGGACTGAACACTAACTCGACAGCTTCGAGAACAGTGAAATGTCCAAGAAAATGTTCGTGCAGGTCTTCACGGAGAATAAAGATTACCTATTAACCTCTACAACATTAGCTGGGTAATATTAAGTGCCTGCAAAGGGACATTACTTGATGGATTACAAGGTTAAGTTGCAGTTGGGTAACAGGGGCAACCACATGGTTAGAACTTAAAGGAGCTGTGTCACGAAATTCGGCCAAATTAGGTAATCACAAAATGCCCGTTAAATTAAGAGAAACATAAAAATAACCGCTTAAAACATTAAAGGAAGGTTAAAATAACACAACAGATACAACAGCTGCCTCGGATGGGCAAAACTGAAGAAGATTGAAAAGGATTGAAATTAGGGTTTTTGAAAACTGTTCAGCCTAACAGTTTTTCAAAGTTGATCCCTGCTGCTCGCAACTTCAAAAATAATGCTCAGAAGACATATTTGTTTGTCTCCAATCTCTGATTTTGTCATTTCCATGTAATTTCTTTGTTTGCTTTAAGTTCCTTAGCGATTTAGGGCGAGTAATTGGCAAAATTAAACAAAATGAACTGGACTGCTGTGACACAGCCCCTTTAATCTGCTTCTGAGAAACAAAGTTCTGCTCATACCAAGTCCTCTCCTTTACCCCCAACCTCGCCGTCCACTGTAATCGTTTCCGACTCCGTTAGAGAAACTAATAAGAAACGCATTTCAGCACCAAAATTGCACCATTATTAAAACAGACAAAGAAATCACGCATTGGGAGGGGAATTAAAATAAATAAATAAACAAATAAATAACGATTAAGAGGTAGCAAATTCACCAAGTGGTTCTTCCTCTACCTGATTTCTGGTCGAATTAGAATTTGGAAAAATTGATTTTTGAGGTGAGGGGAAAACAGGCGTACCCGGAGGAATACCTCTCGGAGCAAAGGAGAGAACCAACAATAAACTCAACCCCGCATATGGCGTCGACGAAGCGATTTGAACCCGGGCCACATTGGTGGAAGGCGAGTGCTCTCACCACGGCGACACCCTTGCTTCCCAAGGAGCAAGAAGAATTTGCCAATCAATGTAGCTGGATAGCTTTAATTTGGCTGGATAGGACCAAATACCTGTCTACCATGGTGTGCAGCAAGTAAATTAACCAATCTATGCAAATTAAACTGCAGGACCCCACTTTTACAGTGTTATGCATCTCCTTAAGCTCGACTACTAGCCGCTGAAGGGGGATCAATAACCGCACTCAAGAGAGCGGCAGAAATCGAGCCTAACATTTCATCAAAAAGGAAAATTCGCCTCCATAAAGAGCAAGCTCTGTCAGCAAAGGGATTTTTCCTTACAGGAGCAAACAGATTGCATGACTAAGAAACCTAAGGAGATTCCCTTTATTGCTTTTATAGTTTGGGTATAAATTTAATACATGTGTTTGACATGAAAATCATTTCCGTCAACATAAGAAGAAAGACGAATGTATGAACAGCCGTGCTAAAACCGTTACCAACTGTAAAATTCAGTCCCGTAAGAGAAATAGTTTCTACCAATCAGAATTCATGCCAGTGAACAACAGGCGGCAGAAATGTAAAGTCGCAAAACCAGTGGCTTTGACGAGGACACCGGACAATTTCCTTAGATGTCTCTAACTCAAGCGTCATAGGCACATAGTTGGTCATATGTCGCGCATGAAATCTTGATCGACTAAGAGGCACAGACCAACAAAGACAGCTTCCTCGTAGCCTTTTACTGTCTTTGCTTTGACTCTTCATGGCGCATAGTTATAGCATCAGTTCTGAGCGATGTGTATCCATGACGTTACGAGTCAAATTTTTCTCTACAAATACTCTTGCCATGTTCATCGTACTCCGCTTTAGTCACGCACATCTTGTTAAGAAACGTGTCTGTCTTGGACAGGGAAACTCCACCTTCCCACGCATGCGTTATAGGCCTAGAACAAAGACGATTTTATCGTAACGATGATAGTAGTGGCTTTAAATTACACCATGGTGTAGCTGAAGATTTAAGGGTCTGGGGACAGCCGCATATTCCGAAAATTCTCTAGCGTGAGTAAACATAGCATCAATAGTCGCAAATTCTTCATAGACAAAGTTCTTGAAGTCTATTCTTGGATTCGCTACTATATTATAACGTGAAATTTAATATAACGGACTATATAAAAATTTAATTCACTGCCTGGCGACGAATCGCAACACAATCTCAACTTACAGGGCATATTACGCTACGAAATGTTGGTACAGGTAAAACGATCAGGCTTTGTGCTAAGAGCACATTGCTTCTAGATCTGAAAATACAAGAACTAGCTACTTCAACTACTAATAGAAAAAAAAATCAGCAGCTCACTCAGGGAACCAGTATGGTAATAACCTAATACAAAATCGCCCTTATGTAGCTTGTGTAGCTTGCGTTTCCGCGCGAGCTTGTAGAGAAAGCTGGGACGAAAGCAAAAAATAGAAATGAAGTGGGAGGGGGAGGGGGAGGGGGAGGGGGGGGGCTAAGGAAACATAACTAGCAACATAACTACAAAATCATGGCTTACTTTGAAGGACAATGAACAGCGACATCGACATCACAGGGAGCAAGAGATCGAACTTCAGAAAATCTAAAAAGGGACGAAAAACAGGATTAGAGAACTAGGAATCACATGACGACCTCCTTGAAGGCGTCAGAGACCCAGAATCAATACGTAAAAACAAGAGTGAGTGAGGAAATATGTGAAGAAAACTAGACAATAACCTCAAACAACACAACTGTAAGAGGCTCAACTAGTATACAGCTATTTCGAGAAAGGTTGTCGGAAAAATGTGCACGCGACAATCCCGAAAGGTAATATGGGATATGATCGATACACTGTTTCTGACGACTTTAGCTGTCGAACCTACTTTTGCTGCTTTCCTTTAGCACTCGCAAACACATTTTCGTAGCCTTTCGTGCCAATTCTTTCAAATTTCTTTGAAGAACAGTGAACTCAAAACCACCCACAATGCCTTTCAGGATTGTCCCGTGCACTTTTTCCGACAACCTTTCTCGAAATAGCTGTATATACAGGGTCAAGTAATTGACTGATACGTATCTTGTCGAGTTAAAGAGCGTAAAATACGGATCTTACAATAAAGGCCCGAGACTGCAGTAGAGATGAAATAATGAATAAAAACGACTACCGCATACTAAAAAGTGAGATATGAAGATAACGCAACCCTACCTTAGACTTACATATATATAAAAAAAGGAGCACATAAAGCTTGCTTTCAAATCGAGTCTACATGCTGAACGTCTAACACTCCTCTACCAAGCTCGCCCAGATTCACAATAAAGTCAATACTAAAAATGGTTCTAGTTCTGATTATTCCTAGAAAATAATCTAACTTTACGCACTACTAGAAGGGTAGAAATCAAATAAAATAGACCTTTCCACGGTTTTTTCAACATTTGACATGCAACAGTTAAGGAAAATCCGTCGACACCACTGGAAACAGCGCTTTTATTTTATTTTATTTATTTTATTAGATTCGCCAATTATTGGCAGGGTCACCGCAACAGTATGACACCAATTACTGCGGGCCCGTAACAGTCCCTTCCCCCATGAGAGATAGACCACCACACTGGGGACTTTTACGAAGAGTGTGTGGGTTCTTTAAAGTCCAACAGAATTTATATATGCAAGGGTTGTGAGACGGGGCCTACGGTTTATCGTCCTTAGCCGAGAAGACTAGAAAGTCTAACCGTTTGCAGATGTCTTACAAAGGCAGCACTTTCTCCTCAGTTATTTAAAGACCCTGAGTGTTGGTCCGGCCGGGACTTGAACCAGCGGCCTCCCGCTCGGAAGACCGGCGCTTATCCAACTGAGCTAACCGGGCGGCGGTTTTATATCTGTAAAATTGCCAAGTTTGAAAGTGATGCGTCTTAAACGAGCGAAGATGCAGCTCCTCAAAGTTACGAAAATTTACAAACGCTTCTAAGGCGGGGGGCAAGTTTGTGCCCCCCTCCCCCACTCCCCCCACCACCATACACACAAATGTAAAATTTCGTGTCTCAGAGGAGCTATACCTTTGTATCGACAGATCACTTTACTGATTTAAAGGCGCTCTTTCCAACGGAGTCGACGGTTTTCTCCAGCCCCTCCATGTCAAAAGTTAAAAATAAAACGTGGAAATGTCTATTGCGCTGATATGGTTCGCTGTTAGGCTCGATTTCCAGTCGTTTCCTGCGCCCTTGTAACGTTGTTGGGAGGAGGATACAAACTGCTGGTAAACGACTTCCTCAAAACGGCTGCAGAACGAGCCTAGTTGCCTATGAGCTGGCTAAAAGTTTGCTCTCAGGGCTCGATGGTCTTGATTATTAGAAAAAGGTGGTTAATTACACTCTCTCTTTCATTCCAGGGAACAGAGAATTTCCTCCAGTTAGTAGTATGTTCATGTAGCAATGCGGCTGCATTTCTGAAAGAAAATGGAGAAACAGGTGTTACAGATGTCCTCCCGGGACGGGTATCTCACAAAAGAGTCATTTTTCCTTAAGGGATCCTACTATTGAATTACCGAAAGACTCGACTGATTTTTGTCTGATTTTTTGCTTCTGTCATTAGCATATGCTTTTTAGTCTCTGATCAAGCTATGGAAAAAACATGTATGAGTATACAGTAATGCTACTAATCTCTAAAAATTTGTGCGCGATGTACTGAACTGTTTCGAATTGTTTTCTTTTAAAAAGGTTTTAAAAGAAGAATAATCCGAAACAAGTGAAATGTTAAAAAGAATGTATGGCTCATTAACTTTTTTGCCACCCAAGAATTTTACAGTTTTTGATGGCTACTATTTCCTTGGATATTACTTGAGAAGGTGTGTGCGTGAGGCTGGCGACCTTTGCGCCTTGAAAACCGATATTGAGAAAAAATAAAAACAAAAAAGCAACTGTTTGAAGAGACAGATTGACGTTTCCGTTTTGATGCCACTCATATTCGAAATGTTACTGTCATTATTTTTGAGGACTGCAATGATGAAGAGCACGTTGCGAGCGCTGTTTATAAAGTTTAATCGGTAACTTACAGCAAAAGAAAGGGAATACTGACTAGCTGGAGAGTTCCAATTCAAATTAATTTTGAGTTTAAAGACAGAGGATGTTAAAAGAAGTCTTAATTTGTAATTATGATATAGCACTGACAACATTCAGTCATGGAAACAGTTTAGTACTAAATGATTCTGTAGCAACATAAGAGTAAAGGCAGTTTTTGAGCTAGGCTGCACTGTACAACCACAACATTTAGTACAAATAAATCACGTACCAACTGGCAACTGTTCTATGGCGTGGTTAATTGCCTCTGGGATTCCCATTTCTTGGATTCCTACAAGCCAAAAGAATTGCGTTACCATTGGAAAAAACTCCGAGAAACTCAGAAATGGAGGTAATGGGTGCATCCAATCCACTGGAAGCCCACCGGTGACAGATTAACTACTATAAATACACGTTTGCAGCAAGTTTTGTTCTTTTGACGCCTTACCTATATCCGATGGATGAAAAAGCAACTCAGGAACAGCAAATCTTTCATTGTTCATTCGTAAGATCTTTAAGAAAAGGGAAAAACATGTTACAATGTATTACATATATGGAAACATAACTTCATTAAGTTCAGGGCCTGACTGTTTCTTTACCAATGCAAGTAACAGGACAATTTAATGAATATCATTTTTTTCTCACTAATTCACAGAGTTAAACATCTAATAGACTGCAAAACAGTCTGTTTTTTTTTTAATCAAAATTGCTTTTAAAGAACCGTTGGTGTGAGATTTGCACTTGACCATAAGATGTGTTAGGCGACGGAATATTTCATGTCTCTCCCCAGTGTCAAAACACTGGGCAGGATTTAACTATATTGAACAATTACCTGTTCATTCTCTTTCTTTGATCCAAGCAACATTTCTGTTGCAGACTGAAAAAGAAAGAAGATAAATAACCTCAGCTTAAATTTGTAGAGGCTTGCCAGCACATATAATAATCTTATGAAGACTCCTTGTTCTTTTTGCCTTAAAGAGAATAGTAAATTACATTTATTTAAATCACATCTATGATTGACAAAATGCTCCAACTGATAAGCCCCTAATTTGTTGAAATAAATTAGAACCTTGTATTTTAGTGGAGACTGTGACTAAAATTGCATCTCTCTGAAAGAACCTTCACAAAAATCAACTATCAGTCTGTTTTTTTCCTCAAAGTTTCTGTCTGTTGTCTTTTGCACTGAAATAATACATTATCCACATCAAAACCACACAAAACCTTAAAACAATGAATCCCACTGACCTTAACATAGCCTCTCTTTATGTGTGTGTAGTCAGGTAAAACATAGTCCCGCAATACAGAATTTTTTGTCCCTCTTAGCCTGCAGGGCAAGCAAAAAATGCCTTAATCAATTATTAATTTTCTCCTTGAACTAAACACAGAATTAAGCCAAAGAAAGCATGTGCCATAAATATATTTTGTACTTGAAAGAATGCTGGACATCACACTTTTTATGCTTGTATGTTTCATTCGTTTTTTTTTGTTGTTTGTGTTATTGACTGGAGTACATTAAATAAAATCATCCACTGGTATTAGAGCAAAGAATGATGAAACTACAAACTTCTTCTGGAGGAGGAGTAACACATAAACTTTTACATACTTAGCAATATTCATGTCCCTCAGGAAGTTGTCAGATACATAACAAGTGTCTTCTTTGACCTGTCCCAAGAATGAATTAAATTTGAAAAAATTTACTTGAATGCTAAAATCAATTTAGAGGAAATGACTTTGGAAATAAAAGTCCACTAAAAGTTAAACAAGCCAATGTTTGAAGAAGATCATGCATATCAAATTCATGATTATCTAGAGTACAACCATAGTAGGCATAAGTTGTAGCAATGATTGTTGTTTGTGAGTTGACATGAAATAGGTTCATTGTTCCTGTATGGCATCGTATTGAAGCTACATGTACATTGCAGTTTCCAGACTGTCTAACCATCCCAATCTCATCAGGATTCTCATGATTTTGCTTGAAAATCCCAAATCCTGACCGATATGCGATCAGGACAGGAAAAATCCCGATTTTGATGATTCGGTTCAGTTATTTTCAAATGAATTCTCAGGATACTTATACAAGAACACTTAACACATACTCAACTAAAACTGATATCCAGAAAACTTCAAAAAACTGCACACGAAATATAAAATAAGATTGAGTACCTGTACACAAAACCATGTAAACATACACGTAAATAAGCATGAAACTGACAATCGATTTAGCAAACATTTTAGACAGAAATTATCCTCTCAGAACACTAGAAATGGCATTTCAGAACATTAAGATTTGAAACGTTTCCAGGGGAGCATGACCTCACAACCCCCTTGCTTGCAGTCCGGGTCTTTAGTGCTGGCGAGATTCATCAGTGATTGAAAATATCCCAATTTTACTTACTTAAAAGTTTGGACAGTCTGAGTTTCCTTTTCACCTTATGTTTAACACAGTGAACAGTTTTAAAAGGCTAGAGAATTTGGATGGACTCATTTGTAGCATAACTCTTATAGTCATCACATTTGCACACTGGAATTTGTCAGATTAAAAGAACAAAAAATCCCACATTCAAAAGTGATGGCCATACATCACTCAAATCACAATATTAGTGTTTATGAAGTTAATTGTTTCTCACCTGATTCATCACATATGTTTCATCTAAGACATGCAATTGCCTGCAAATTCAGAAAAGGGAATCACTTAAGGCAGGAATGTAACAACAAGCAGTACATTGCAAATTATAACCATGAAATATACAATAATAAAAAACAAGAACGTAGAGTGAGTCATGTTTGTTACACAGTTGTGTAACAAAAGAACAAGGCAAAAAAGGCAAAGTCAAAATTCACCAACATTTCTGAATTACATTATGCAATCTGCTGTCAAACACAAATGGTACCAAGTTTACAAACAGACTGACAAAGAGGCTTCAATTGAATGGTCACACTAAAAACTATAGGATTTTGTTCACAAACTCAAAAGTTAGAGACAAGCTACACTTCACTCTAAGAGTGAAAAAAATGTTAAAAATGCTACTGAAATCCAATTTCTAAAGTTAAGGTGAAGTTGTCACGTTACTGTTGTGTTACACCTTATATGATTTTGTCATGTATCCTAGGGTGGCAGTATTACAGCGTGCTTTTGTATGTGCCCGCAATAAATAGCTCAAACATGGACTCTGGCATCTGTTTCTTCATTTCCAATCAGGCTTAGCATAGCAAAGTCATTACACAGGGTAGTAGATGTATATTTGGTACCTCAATACAACCAAACCTGTATAATGAATATCCCAGTATTATTAGCAAATAATTTTCTACAGCCTCATAGGAATGAAATGGAAGGTGACCCCAGGGCACAACAATTTATAGCAGTGCTGGTGGCATATATAACTTTAAAGGGCTGGAGTTCCATTCCTGTATGGTGGTACAAGGGTATCTCTACTCCTATTGCCATGATTCTATGCCTCAGTCACAGTAACGTGTTAAAATATACAGTCCTGACAACATATCCTTGATACAACAAACACATTTTTTCACTCCATTCGCACTTCATTAGGTGCAATTTTTTTTCATAATGCAACTTTTAACCTCAGAAAGTTTTTCATCACCAGAGGGAAAAAACTGGACTGACCAACTTCCCAGCTGGTACATGCATGTGAGTTATCTCCATTTAACCACTTTGTTTGTTTTTACATCTCTATACACATCTAAACACAAGTAATTATGACTAATGAGTAAGACGTAAACTCCATACTTTGTCTTTATTCATAAACCAGTTTTATTTACCTGTAGGATATGATTTCCTTTAAATGATTTGTCAACAATTTACCACCAACATTAATTCTGCAAAAACATCCATGGGGAAAACACATCTAAGTATATGGCATACATTAAATTACAAACAACTTTACATTGCACACCAAAGATGATTGAATAATCAACATCTTTCAGCCTATGAGCTTACAAGAAGGAGCTCCAAAATGAAAGTAGTCTCCCTCACAGCCATTTTTAGTGTTATCACACAGTTCGCTTCTCCCCACTAAAAACGGCTGGAAGGGAGACTAAAATGAAAATAGCCATCATTTTATAAAAAAAAAACAAATCATAACATCAGTTTAGTTCTTTTTGCTGTAGTCCTATTAACCCTTTAATCCCCAACATTAACATGCATCTTCTCCTTACCGTTCTTCACACATTCTTTATGGTACTGCCTGAGAGAATTTGTTCTAACATCACAACATTTCATCTTTGCTGATCATTTCGTTTATTCTCATGACCTGTCTGTTTGATCAGACAGTGTTATTGTTGGGAGAAATTAGATGTGGGCCACTATTGGGGCTATAATAAAGAATTAGAAAAGCCACTTGTAATTTAATAGCTTGAAATAAACTGGGCCATAGTACATTAGTCTTCAGTTCCTTTAATACACATGTACAAGTCAGTATCTGTAAGGGAGGGCAAAAGAACATTCTTGTGCTATTTATATCCTGGAAATATATAACCAGATTATTCATCATTTAAGCCCCAGCATCTCGATATTTAACAAATTCTTCAGACTGATCTCCATGAACATTTCTTTAAAGAATTTGTTAAGAGAATTGTGAAAAGATCAATGAAAGCATTTTCCCTTTTCATTGTCATCATGTCTTATCACACCAGTAGGCGCATAAGGCCTCCAGGCTGTCTGACCAACACTTTGTGTCTTGTGGAACCGCTTTGGCTACTTCTCAGCTCTTCCACCCCACTTTGTTTCACTCTTTCTCAACTGTCCTTCTCCAAGAAGATTTTGGTCTTCCTCTCCCCCTCCGACCTTCAGGAGTCCATCATAATGCTGTAAAGCAGTCCTTCACACTCTCTCTTAAGTATGTGACCTACCCAGTTCCACCCTCTTTGCCGCACCTCACAGCTCTTTTGGTGATCACTTTATTAATTCTCATAACTTTTTCTCTTGTTTACATATTGATACTGTTTGGAGAAAATTCATGTTGATCACTCTTGGGACTCAAAGGGATTAGAGACTTCAATTAGTTGACAACTTACCGTTTTACACCCTTCTTCATAGCTTTCCCATTGAAAACTGGAACAACATGAGTGAAGGAATATCCTGAGTCTACCACCACACAGACAAGGCGCTTCTCGGTTTCCTCATTATGGCTTTTGAACGCACTCAACTGAGCAGCTTTGAAACAAGTACAATCAATTAAATCACAATTAAGCATTCTATGCATTTTTTGAAATGGCAAAGGTAATTACCATGTACTTTATCCAATATTTATTCTAATTTACCTGTTGTGCGGCAAAGAGCTTTGAAACCATATTCTTCAAATAAAATTTCATCACTGGCATCCTAAGAAAACAAAAACATTACTTCAACAGTTGGCCAAAAACTTAGGATGTCAATGTTGTTGGTTGATGTTACTGTGACTGTCAAGTCAGTGTCTATTTCCATTATATACTGCTTGATACATCACACAATAGCACACAGCCAAAAAAGAGAAAACAATAATGACCAATCAAAAAATCAAACCACAACATTAAATTCAACCTATTGCTTAAAAGAAAATTAAATTATTGCTTGAAAATTAGAAAATATAGCCTACCAAAACAATTTTTAATAACTGCATTACATTACCCATATTCTGTAACTGCGGCCTGCATTTAAAATGGACTAAAGAACAAAGCAGCTTTCACTGGGCTTCAACTACATGTACATGTACATAGATTACTGCAATTTCCACTTTAAAATTACTGTAGCAATCAAAATTACAAGTTACAATAAATATGAGACAAACATACTTTGATAGAGGTAAAGTTGAAGTGCGGCTCAGTCAGAAGGAGCGTTGTTTCAGGAAAGTCAACCTTAGAAGAGGATTAGATCAACAAAGTTTCAAATATTTCTAAAAGCAATACTAACTTCAGTGCTAGCAAAAATCAATCGGTAGAACTTGTGTTGTAATTTACAAACAAAGACTGAATTTATCACAAATCATTATCTCCTATTTTAGTCATGATTAATGGGTAACAGAACTTGAAGTTATCCAATTCTGTAGGTAATTATAATATTATTGTAATTAACCAAATTTAATGTCCGCAATGTACCCATTGTTTGATCGGCTCATATGATAACAGGCTTATTTTAAAAATATATACTAAAGGGATATGCGGATACACGGATACGTAGTGACAAAGTGGATACTCTGATCGCGGATACATAGTGACTGAGTATCCGGGCGTGTATTCGCGTATCCTCCTATGTTTAGGTGTTGCTTTTAAGTGGCAGGGTATTCTGCAGTTAAGCCAAAATTTAAGCCTTTAAGTATGAAATTGAACCACAAAATACATAACATAAAGGTAAGCTATATTTTATTTAACATGTGCGATATTATTTCACTCAGCAAAATTAAAGCAACCACAATCGACCCCGTTTTGGAAGCTTGTAACAAAAAACTTCCATTGCATACAATGAGAGTACCGTAATGATTCGATTTAGCGCCCTCCTTCCAATAAGGGCCCCCTTCCAAATAAGCGCCCCCCCTTCGAATGTGTTTTTGTTAATAAGCGCGCCTATTGTAATAAGCGCCCCTATTCTAATAAGCGCCCCTACTCTAATAAGTGCCCCCTATTCTCATATTATTACAGCGCCTTCAGAGTACGTATCAAACGTGGTTTATCTTCCTTTAATAGCTGACATACGTAATAATGTATTACAAAAACAGTGGTCTTCATCTGAGTTTCTCAACTGTAATGTCCATGTGAGTACATAATTCCTTCAAATGAATAATTTCTTCTTCAAATTTTGTGGCGATTGCTCTGCTGGCCGTTCTGGCCAGAAAGGATCCAGGGACAACAAGTCCATTTTCCAGTCTCCTTGATCCAGTCACTTTGACCTGTACATTGTTCTCATGGCGGGCTTTGAGAAATGTGAATATAAGGAAGGAAATTTCCATCGGCACATGTCCAACAAGTTTGTTATCAGCTTCAAGGTAAGTCCCAACTGCGTATTCATCGTGCTCTTTAGCTTCTTTACGGTCATCTTCCCTGCATGCCAGAGACTCTCCTATGATTGGAGACCACGCCGCTTTGTAAACATGATGACCTCGTATAACAGACGAAAATTCTACCTCATAAACAAACATCGAATTCCAAATCAAGTGATGCCCTGAACGAGCCATAATCGTAAATATTTACCACGGGTAATTTCTGCTCGTGTTGCTTTCCCGCTTCTGTCTCATAATTTATGTCATTTGCATTGTTCTTAATTACGATGAATCATTAACAGCTGCGAGCAGTCACGTTCACTTGCAACCCTAAACTCATTCTTACACGTATCCAGCTGCGTACAGTGATCACTTTGCGCTAAAACATGGAGGCTGATGCTTCTCAGTCTCATGCTGGCAAAAAGATCAATTCTTATTCAACAGAATTTAAACTAGAAGCCGTACGGTTTGCCGTTGAATGCAATAGTAACTATAAAGCAGCAAAGAAGTTCAACGTAGACCGGAAGAGAACACGAGAGTGGCTAGCAAACCAGAGTAAATTAGAATCTGCTAGTTGCAAGCGAAAGCGACTCAACGGCGCGGGAAGAAAGCCTTTTGATCTGGATATTGAAGAAGTCTTATTGGAATGGGTCCACGAACGACGCTCTAATGGTTTTCGTGTATCAAGGAAAATGATCAGAAGCAAAGCGAGGTTTCTCCACGAGGAGAAATGCAAGGAAATGGAACTTCCTCCAACATTCACGGCAAGCATTGGGTGGGTACAGAAGTTCATGACCAGACATGGGTTATGTATACGGCACAAGACAACAGAATCCCAAAAGGATCCCGAAAAACTAATCGACAAACTGATCGCATGTGTGTTACAAGCAAGACGGCTATGTGTAAAGTTCTCCTACAGTGACAGTGACATAATAGCAATGGACGAAACAGCCATTTGGCAAGACATGCTTTCAAATACAACTGTTGATTCCATCGGCCACAACACGATAGCCATGAAAACAACTGGTCACGAGAAGACAAAGGTTTCAGTTTGCTTAACAGCGAAAGCAGATGGAATGAAATTGAAGCCTTTTATCGCCTTTCCCGGTGCTAAGAGAGAAACCAAAGTACTCAGTGAAGAATTCAAGGCTAAATGTGTTGTAGCATCATCTTCTAACGGGTGGATGAACGAAGAACTGACCCTTGACTGGGTAAGAAGTGTTCTGGGGAAGTTTTCATTCACCCGACGAATCTTGGCGTGGGATTCGTTCAAGTGCCACGTGATGGAAACAGTCAAACGAGAACTACGGACATCAAAGATAGATCCTTTGTTCATCCCAGGGGGTTGTACGAAATACATCCAAGCGCCCGACGTGGTTTGGAATAAGCCATTTAAAGCAAATGTCACGGAGAAGTATGATGAATGGATGGCTGGTGAAGCCCACTCTTTCACTGCAGCGGGAAACATGCGTGCTCCACCCCGGAGAGAGATAGTTAAGTGGATCCTTGCGGCGTGGGATGGCTTGGACAAAAGAATGATTATCGATTCATTCAAGAGCTGTGCGCTAACTGTTGCAGTGGATGGATCAGAGGACGGACACATTCACTGCTTCAAAGAAAATCAGCTTTGCCGTGTAGGGCTAGAACGGCTCAAGGTTGTCCAACAAGCCATGAGCAATTCACGCTACAAAGATCCTTTCGACGGGATCACAGAATCCGACATTGAGGATGCGGCACCAGAGAGCTTGATAATTGACGCAAGTGACACTGAAGTCATCGACGTCGAATAGATAAACTCATAAACATTCACCGTACTGTACATGTATACCGTTTATTACTGCTAAAATGAACAATTTTTTTAAAAGCAACTGAACTTTCAACGATTTATTACTGTTTCAGTTTCTGTTATTGTTAGTTACCGTAGATAAACTCATGAACATTCACCGTACCGTACATGTATATTTGTTACTGCTAAAATGAACAATTCTTTTAAAAGTAACTGAACTTTCAACAATTTGTTCCTGTTGCGGTTCTGTTATTGTTAGCTATTTTAATATTTATTAAAGTTTTGTTTTGAACATTAGGTTGTTTCTCAAAAAATTAAATAAGCGCCCTGTCCTGAATAAGCACCCTGTCTCGAATAAGCGCCCTCCCTTGAGGTACCAAAAGTAAATAAGCGCCCCGGGCGCTAAATCGAATCATTACGGTACTCTAACTTAGTATACCTGCCAACTTTTTCTGAGATATAAGCGTGAGATTTTTATCCTGGGAGTACTGGGATTTTTAAAGACGACAAGATCATTTCCGAAGAATCCCGAAGAGGTCCGAAGTCTTCCGAAGAAGTCCGAAGTCTTCCGAAGACGTCCGAAGTATTAGGACGCGTATAAATGCGATCTCGCTCCCAGTACTTTTCACTTCAAAACTCAGAGATTGCGAGGAAGGTATTGTCATTTATTCATTTTACACATGGTTTTCGTTTCTTACATGGGTCTGAGTTAACATATTTTTGGAAATTGTGTCAAGCAAGACGGCAACAACTCACATTTTTCAATCAGGCGTGAGAAATTGGCCCGCAGGCGTGAGCCGGCGTGAGATCGAAGTTTTCAACCCGCAGGCGTGAGACTCACGCCTAAGGCGTGAGAGTTGGCAGGCATAACTAATAGTCACCCAGCATGGAATGTTGTCGTTCTACCTTCATCACTTCCTTGCCGAATATGTAATCCCATATTTGCTTCTCTACATCCCAGTTGACTAAGACGCCCTTCTGAAAAGGCATCACGTAAAACAAACCCGAATAATCTTTGCATTCCTCCAGTTGATCTCCAATAAACAACTTTCTACGTTCACTCTTTGCTTTGAAAATACAGTTTGGAATAAGCCTAGAAAGGAAAGAATATACCCTGTTAATAATTGGTTGTACAAAGACCTGCTATTTTTTGGATTTATTCCTTACCTTGGGCTGTCTGCAGTATTAAATTCGACTTTGGCAGTACTGGCGCCATTATCAAGCACCAGAACCGCCATCTTGGATTGTACTAGATCCCAGGGTTCCCTAAGAAAAAGTAAACTGGTTTCCCTGGCCGGACGAGCCCTGGACACGACACCAGTTTCTGTATTTATTGCTTTTTTTTGCACAATTTTTTTTTTCATTTTCGTCTGCTGGTAGGGTGTGACCCATCGCGCGAAGCAAGAGCGGTGATCAAGCATGCTAGCAGTCCGTCAGGATTGTACTAGCGCAAACAAGCATGTTACACCTCATCGCTCGCATGCTCACCCTCGTGGTGTAAGATTTTCAATCTATTCCATAGATTCATCTTTCGCGCCAAGCTGAAATCTCATCCAATCGGAGAAGGGTAGAATTTCAGCACTTTTGAAGTAAGGACCAAGTTCACCTACCTCCCCCATTGGGCTCTGCAGACCTTTATGAACACGTGTTGCGGCGAGAATTCCTTCCTGTATTTTTTTCAGATTTTATTTAAAACAGCTTAGGGTTGGTCATTCAACTGCGAAGATTACAGTTGTTCATTTAAGTACTCAATAAACGCTACAGCGTGAAGACACTTGATTAAGACCAAAACCAGTAAGAGCAAAGAAAGGACTAATCTGTTAGATTACAACTGTCCACTGCTTGTGTGTTTTAACCGCCACCTGGTTAGCTCAGTTGACTCAGTTGGGAAAGCGCCGGTCTGCTGGGCGGGAGGTCGCAGGTTCAAACCTCGACCGGACCAACACTCAGGGTCTTTAAATAACTGAGAAGATACCATTGCCTTTGTAATCACATCTACAAACAATTAGGCTTTCTAGTCATCTAGGATAAGGAAACAGCACTTTCGGTTATGTATCGGTCAAATCAACATGCCCCCCCCGGGCATACCCCGGGCATTTGACACCTTTGCCGTCCCGGGGAGGAGGGAATTTGATTATCAGAGTCTTCCAGGGGGTGGGGAATTTGATCCCCATGCTTTAGGGGTGGGGAATTTGAACTGCACCTTCGATTTCATGTAAAATCTTTGGCGTGGCGAGCTATCATGGGGGACGCGGTGTTAGAGGATTTTCGTGGAAAAGATTGTGCTTTTGTGGCCAATTGGTTGCGAGGAAAGGGCTTAAACAAGCTTTGTGCCGTATTTGAAGTATTTAAATTTTAAAATTTTTAATATTGGATTCAGGCTTTGAATGTATGAATGTATTTTATTGTTGTGTTTACAATGAAAGACAATACCTATATCGACGATTCAATACAACAACATAACATAAAATAAGATAAAAAACTCATGTCAACTTCTTTGACCTACTGCAAGTATGCTAATTAATAAGGTGAACGATGGTGCATGTCAGTGAAATGGTCACCGGATGTAGTAATCTCAATAGGTGGGATCTTTTTTATAGAACGCTTTGTATGTTGAATGACGAAGAAAAGCTGAGCATTCAGTGACCTTGTAGCAGCGATTTCCGCCGCTTTGCACGAGACTTTTGTTCGTGGTAAATACGCTAACAGTGTTTCTCAGTTTTTGTTATATTTATAAATATTTTGTTCGACAACTGCCATCGTCCTTCTGTCATTTTTGTGCCTGTGAAATGTCCCCGGGGTGGAGGCATTTGATCACCTGAATGGACCCTTGTGTGGGGCATTTGAACGGCATTTTGGCCCGGGTAGGGGGGAATTTGAACAATAATTTTCAAAAAAGTCAAATGCCCGGGGGATTGCCCGGGGGGGGGGCATGTTGAAGCTTCTATTTAAACTTTTATTCTTAAACCTTTCCAGATGAATGGAAAATCGCCAAGGTGACTCCTATCTTTAAAAAAGGATCAAAATCTGACCTGAATAACTATAGACCAATTTCTGTATTGCCAATTGTCTCAAAGCTATTCGAGAAAATTATCTATCAACAACTCTACGATTACCTAGATAAAAACAAACATTTGAATACTTATCAATCCGGCTTTCGATCGCTCCATAGCACCATGACGGCGCTACTTGAATCAACGAACAACTGGTCTATTAACATAGATAACGGCCTTTTAAATGGTGTGGTATATATCGACCTTAAAAAGGCTTTTGACACCATTGACCATGCAATTTTGTTACATAAACTTGCAAACTATGGACTTGATCTGGGTTCCCTACGATTCTTTGCCTCCTACCTAGGTAACAGGAGCCAGAAATGTTATGTTAATGGCGTATTGTCCAGTGCAAGCGAACTAAGATGCGGAGTCCCACAGGGTAGTATTCTCGGTCCTTTGTTCTCCTTAATCTATATAAACGATCTTCCAAACTGCCTTAATTCAGCATGCGCTAAAATGTTCGCAGATGATGCAACTATTACCATTTCTGGTTCCTCTCTAGCTGACCTTGAACAAGAGACTAACTTAGAACTACTGAACCTTCACTGTTGGCTAAAAGCCAATAAGCTTAGTCTTAATGTTGCGAAAACCGAGTTTATGGTTATTGGCTCTCGCCAGAAGCTTCTCGCGGAAAGCCATAACGAAATAAACATTAAACTAGAAGACCAAGTTATCAGCAATGTTGATCACGCAAAATCATTAGGTCTCATTATTGACAATCGGCTTTCCTGGTCTAATCATGTTAACGAATTGTGTAAGAAGGTAACTTCGGCTATAGGTGCCCTTAGACGTATTAGGCCCCTTATCTCCCAATCTACTGCGGTACTAGTCTATAACTCCTTAATTCAACCTCACTTTGATTACTGTAGCCTTGTTTGGGATGGCTTAAGTGATCAACTGAGTGACAAATTACAAAAGTTACAGAACCGTGCAGCTACTGCAGAGTAATTTTAAAGGCCAACTATGGGACTAGCTCGAGCCTGCTTCTTGATATACTCAAATGGGACAAATTAGTTATAAGGAGAAAGAAGCATAAAGCAATAATGATGTTTAAATCTCTAAATGAACAAGCTCCAGTGTACTTGCAGAACCTATTTCACGAACGAAGCACAGACTATGATTTGCGCAATTCCTTTCATAAATTGACGTTGCCCAGGCCGCGTACTAACTACTTGAAACGAAGTTTCAGTTACAGCGGTGCTTTGTTGTGGAACTCTTTACCCGAAAATGTGAGAGAAACAAAATCAGTCAGGAAATTTAAAGAGCAAATCAAACATGTATTTGAGTCGTCGGACTCTCACTCGGCAGTCTTGTAAAACAGTATGTCGATAGTTTTTAGTCTAATTAATTGTGATTAGATTTTTACTCTATTATTACTGAAGATTTTACCGAGTTTTAAATAAAAAATCTACCTACCTACCTACCTACCTACCTACCTATCTATTTGACTGATACATTATATAGTTCTTGTGGGACGCAAAAAAAACCAACACCACTGGTCGAAAAGAGTAGGGGACGTAGACCCCGGTAGTGCCGGGCATAGTAAATCGAACGTTCGAAAATCGAACTCAATCGAACTCACTCGAACTCAATCCGTGGATTGAGTTCGATTGAGTTCGGCAATCGAACGAAATCGAACACCACACTTTCAGTGAGTTCGATTTCCGAACAAATCGAATTCAATCGAACAAATCGAACTCAATCGAACTCAATCCGCCTGATTGTGAAGTTATCGAAGCATTTACAGGCCACAGTGAAGCAACCAGTTCACGTTGAAGGTGACCTAATTGTCCGCGCTCGTTTGCAATTCGGAAGGCACGGCCTTTCTCGCCTATTTTCTTTAAAACCCTGAAAACTTCGCCATCCTTGACGTCAAAGCGGCATTCCTAGTAGCCTTTGACTATACATTTGAAGCTTACGATCCACAACGCATCTGAAGCCATTTCTGCGGAATTTCTTCGTTTACGAAAAACACGTGCGCTACCCTCAGGGCTGAAGTAGCTCGAGCTTCTAAGATCTGGTAATGGGTTTTCAACGTCTGTTTTACATAAATCACGAGTTCGAAAATCGAACGTTCGATTGGGTTCGATTGATTTTTTTTCTTTTCGGTGAGTTCGATTTCGTTCGATTGCCGAACTCAATCGAACTCAATCCACCGATTGAGTTCGATTGAAATTTAGTTCGATTGGGTTCGATTTACTATGCCGGGGTAGTGTGACCAACTTTTTTGGGACTGGGTGGGTTATCTGTAAGGAGAGATCTTAATATAGGGATAACCTCATGATACTCCTACAGGTGTGGTAATAGCTACCTGTAAACAGTGTATGTATGTAAAGATCAAATATACATAATTGCGCTAGTATGAATGAAAAAATGCTAGTACTGTTTTGAACTGGTTTTGTTGCTGTTTGTTTCTCATGAAAATCACGACAGACTGTTTATTGAAACTGAATGAATATATGAATTTCATTTGAATTGTGGGATGAAGAAAAGAGGTCAGGACCCCGGCAAGCCTGAAGTTTTTCGGGCTTTCTTTTCGCAACTGCAGAAGTTGCGTATTTTTAACTTTGATGATCTTCTCTATATTTAGTTAGACTGTTCATTGTTACGGCTCTATTGGCGGAGCGCTATTCGGTGAGTCTGTTCCCACATATATATCTGTAACTCCCTCACAAACGTTTCCAAAATTCTATTATTCCTCACAAGTTTTATTCTTTTGATCACTTAGGTCCATCAAAAAAATAAATTACATGCGTTGTTGCACCACTCACAATCTTCAAGCATAGATAATAAGAAAACTTATTTTACATCTGTGCTGTCATACGCGAGATAGCCCCAAACAAAATTAAATGTTTATCTGACATTAAAAGGACATGTAAATAGATTAATCTACCATATCACATGCTTACTTTAAGGTGTTTTTGTGCTTACTAAGCTTTATATGTGGCCGCGCCGGTTTAATACAGCCATTGATTTTCAAGATAATCTAATTGAAACAAAAACGCTTCGAAAAACCAGGGCGTTTTCCATTTGTCAAAACTCGCTGGCCAAACCAGTCAAATCTTACGGAGAATTCCACCATTAATCAGGACTGTCCAGCTAGATCAGTAATTTATTCAGTCACAAATGGTATACGCGGATGTGACTAGTTTTAAATAAAAATTTTGCGACGAGGTGCAACGCACCGACGAAAAACCCATCTCGGAGGCTTTTTCAAGTGCAAATCGTGGACGTGGGTTATCACGTTAGGGTCTTTACAGTTTGTAAGATCCAACGACGCGCTGGCAACGAGAACGTCGCTTAAAAAAAGAATATGCGTTCTTTAAGTCCTTATCGCGACTATTCCTACCCACTTTCTTTGTCAAATGTAAGCGAACCCCCCTCAGAGAAATATAAATTCGTTGTTGCTTGTTTACGTTCTCCATAAAACGCGAAATTAGGTATGTTCACGTCGAAGTCGTCCAAAAACGGCAAAGAAATGTTCAAAAAAGCGTGATGCACGTGTGAAGCTGTTGTTTTGCCTACTAAACCTATCGTTTTTTGACGTTCTCGTTGCCGTCGCGTCGTTGGATCTAAAAAAATCCTATTCTAGATCTTGATAACAAACCTCTGGAGCCAACGTACTGTATTGACCGGATGCTTCGAAGAGTTGCACTCCAAACTTCATTGCTTACAGAGACAAGGTTCTTTCGTTGAACCCTTTACTTAAAAAATATTCATACTTTAATACAAAGAAAATGGGCTTTTAAAAAAACCCTGCCCCTCACCATCTAAGTAAAATAAACTCCTCGTTAGAATCTTTTTGCAGGAGTTGGACTTAATCATTATTCATTTCGAGATCTGTTTAAAGGGACTATGTCACGCTATTTGGTATCTTTTTGTAAAGCTAAGACGGAGTTCGGTCGTTTCGATACAAAGTCATTTCGATACAAAGTCGTTTCGATACGAACTCAATTTCGATAATTTTAAGTATATAGTTTAAGTCAGTTACGCCTAAACTGAATAAACTTGTATCGAAAGGAACGTAAACCGCTAAGACGTGTCTTCACATTAATTGAATTCCAAAAATAATGCTCCAGTTTTGTTATCTAATACTACATCTAGGCACTGACACTGTTTCCTGTCGTCTCTTGCAACAAATGGTAAAGATGAACATGGATTGAAACTTTAAAAAATTGGGCATTTTTTTTCCCCAAGATTACATGCTCAGCGTGCAAAATTCACCAAAAAAATAATCATGGTAAGCGCTCCCTAATGAAACTTGTTTGATATCTTCTACACAAAACTGGAGCATTTTGTGCATGGATAAAGGAACTAAGTGATAACTTCAGAACAGATTAAAAAACAGCAATGTCCTCATGGCATAGCCCCTTTAAGTGTCTATAAGGACATCTGATTACAACTGAGACTTTTCCGTACTATAGTACTTAATTTTCTCAACGGCAGTCATAACATCTTTTGGATCAACTTCATCGCCAAAGTCCTTAGCTAGGTGATCAAGTAGAATTCCTTGCTCTCCAGGTCCAATTACAAAAACACCACCTAAAATCCGGCCTTCTCCTTTAAGATCCCATACAATATCTTTGCGCAAAGCTCGGAGGCCTGCCTTCCAAACACCGATGCGAAAAAATCCTGCAAAGAAATCAGATTCAAATGCAATATCATATGTACCTACTTTAACCTTATCTGCGATCGAGCGGTCTTTTTCCTTTTTTGTTTGAAAGGCCTTTCCCCATCCTCTGCAAAAAAAGAACGCCTGATAGCATGTTAACTTTAGGCTAAGTTCACACTGTACTGGATGGCTTTTGCTACCCTAGGTGCCAGAGGCTTTTCATGCGCGGTTTCCGGTTTCGGTCAAGTCTTAAAAAGTGACCCGCGCCGCTCGTGTCTTCGGCCTTCGGCCGACGAAACGAAGCTCCCCGACGCGCGCGAGGAAAAACCTCCGGTACCCAGGGTAGGCTTTTGTCGGCAACAGCATGAAAATCATACTGGATAGAGCTTCTGTTGACGGCACCACACCGATCTCTAAAGTGGAGAGTCACATATCCCGTTAGGTGTACACACTATACCGGATAGATTTTAGCCAGTGTACAGACCCCCTACCCCTTCCCTCAGAAAAAAAAACCTGAGGGGAGAGGGGGTCTGTACACAGGCTAGAGAGATTTTCGTGTCGGCACAAAAAGCAATACAGTATAAGTGTGAGCATAGCCGCTTGGCTTTTGTTTCACACGCCGAGAGAAGGGTGGTGAGAAGCGACAGCCTGCGTGCAGACCTCTCCTGTTTCCTATGTTGCAAGAGGAAAATGGACGTCTGCATAACACCATTGCTGGTTTCCACGTGATGTCACGGCGGCCATTTTTCTCCTCTGGGAACTCGTAAATTCTTCGAGAAAAAATTCTGTTGTTTTGACCCCCAACATGGGCGCCTTGTCACGTGGTTGCAAACCAAGGATTGCTCATCATGTTCCGGTTTCCCAAGACTTTGGGTAATGAGGAAATAGGAGACCTCTGAATGCAGGCTACGTTCACAGGTGAAAGTTACTTTACCTTAATGTTGTAACGTCTTCACTTTTTAAAAAGATGAATACACATTGCATTGCAATTAAATGTACTTTAAAACCTTTTCTCACTGCCATGTATAACTGTGCTATTACATGGGAGACCACTCTGAGCGTTGTAACGCTGCACATCTTGTACTTAGTTTTATGGCTACAAAAATTGTTTTGACGAAATAATATTGTTTTCTTACCACTAATGAGCATCCATCTCTGCTCTGGACCGTAAAATTTTCTCTGCAAAAAAAAAAACGAAAGCAAAAAACCATCAACAACCATCTCAAGAACACAGACACAACAAAAATGTCCTTGCATAATCAGTTTTGAGATCTCATTGTCCTTTGAACCACCTGGCCCTGGATATGTAACTGAATATTATAATCCAGGGTCAAATAGTTTGGAGGACTATTTGTCCTGGGCATGGGTGACCAATACCAACATTCTCCTAACAATGTCAATACATCATCAAGAAAACAGATAGTGAAAATTAATAAAATGATCAACTAAGGGAAATTGCTTCAATGATCTTCTATCAAATTCTCTCACCTTATTCTTCACTCTGAAAAATTTTTATGTGGATATTGGGACTTGAAAAGTTTAACATCAAGCTACAGTTAGTTACCGTGATGACTCTTGTGGTCCCCTTGGTTTAGCGTAAAGGAGCTTCAAAAAATAGTATTATTCTACCCAGGGCTTAATCAATAATGTTATAAACAGGTGGGGGAATTAAGAGTGCATTCCTTTGGGATAATCCAGTTCAGGATTTATCATCCAAGATTACTTGCATCGTGCATCAAAGAAACCGATGAATCCCATGTGCAAAAGGACACAATGGTTCATTATTTGATGCACCGTGACCCACTGCCGTGATCTTGGATCATAAATCCTGATCCAGATAGGGACACACCCAATGATCATAGTTGCCAAGGAAGAGTAGATTAAGAGTTTGGGATGCATTGATGTTTACATTATCTAATAACATCAACTGCTCATTCACAATTAAACTGTAGAAATTCCTTAAAGTTTCCCACTCTAAACATAAAGTAATGTGATAATGTTGTGCCTTTAGCAAACGCATAATGTTATCCTGCTATGTGTTGTACCTCTTCATCCAAGTATATCGGAGAGTTTAGATATGGCTGAAACTTCTTCACACCTTTTTGTTCATGAACTATCCCCACAAGGTTTATACCTCTCTTGTCAAGTTCAGGTTTCAGAGAGGAGAGCTCTAAAGCCTCCTAAAAAAGGAAAGCAAAAACTTTTAGATACACCTGTAAGTGTTTGATGTATTTCATACAGATCCCTAGCTCGGCCCACCAATTCTATTATATTTGTCCAAGCACCATACTAATAAGGAGTGCTACATGGAAGTTGTAGGTTTTTGTTACTTTTAAAGGACCATCGCTTTATAGAGCAAAAAACTTACTGAATGCAGAAACAAAAATAATGATGAGTTTCTGTGACTAGATAATGACTGTTTACGTCAAATGTAGAATATAATAAAACGAGAAAAAAACATGAATGTATTTTATATTTTATTATTTTCTGTATTCTCACTTGAATCTGCGTCAAACTGCCTAAAATCGAAAAATTACAAAGAAATGAAAAAAGAAATGACCAGTATTTGCACTTTATTCGTTCTTTGTTCATTGTTGTCAAACACACAACATCATTTTTTTTTCGTCATATTAAACCCATCATTTTGCTTGCTCACTTAAGCTTACTTGTTTTCCTCTTTAGAGCAACAGTCCCCTAAAAGCAACAAAAGCCAGGTTGTGCCAAGTATACCGGTACTTAAGTTAATAAATACATGTATCTTTAGTTTTGTCACTGTGTCATTGTATGTCACATTGCTCTCACTATCGTGTCACCTTGCTCAATGGCAAAGTGCTGCATATTTGTTTCACAGAACACAGTCTTTTGTGTTGTGTGCGCCATGTAGATAAAAGAAAAGTTTTAGTGACATGTGCCTGGTGACATGATGCTCGACACTAGCATATTTTTTGCTCAGACACTACCTACTGTTTTGCAAGTTATTCAAGCATGCCTCCGCATTACACCTTTTCATCCAGAATTCTGTAGGTGGCACTATATAAGAGATCCTTTAAATAATCTTTTTTTTAAAGGATATCTCTTAAATTGTCACTTTGTGATACAGTACCTCTATACACAAAATTCATCCTGGTCTTCTAATGACCATAATGACTGCACCCGAATTTCTCCAGAGGTCAGAAGCCATGATCTCCTTTCCTGATCCATCTAAAGCCTTGAGTTTAATAGCACTCAGATAAGCTAAATCTGGCCTTGGAATATTCTTGAACCAATCCCAGTTTGCAACAAGAATGCCACCAATGGCTGCTATACCACCAGCTGCCAGTAACCATGCCATCTATGACACCTAAAAATAAAATAAATAAATAAGTAGATAAATGATGGTAAAAAAGTGATGACATTATTTACCATTGGCACTATTTACTCTGAGGGGCCGAGCAAATAACTGGAACAAATAACTTTAGTGAATCATACACCGTTGACTGGCAAAAGGTATTTAAGGCCAGAGGCTAGGGCTATCTGGACTTCAAGTGAGGTGGCCAAGTTGTGATCTGAGGCCTTCGTGCTCCAAGGAGGGGTATGCTGTTGCTTAATTGTCAGTCATTTCTGAGAATACCTGTTGCCTGATGCATGATAGGTTAGGGAAAATGTCACTGTAGCATTTTAGCTAGGAAGCTATTCAGTTTGGAATTTACAGTCAAACCAGGTCAAGCGTTCCCGTCGCTAACAAACTAATGAATTCATTAATGGAAAAATAATTTCGTTTGTTGATTCAACAATCCATTCATAAAATGAATAATCCAACAGTCAAATTGGACCTCGATTCAATAATCAAATGTTGATTTGGTTTATGAGCAAAATCTACCTGTTCTTTATTCTTGTCTGTTGTGTTCAATCGTATTTGGTTCCTTTTTCCTGCCGTTTACGATTGCGTTTTTCATTGCCTTTAATCAAAATAACAGCTAGAATAGACAGACCGCAAACGCAAAGAAACTATGAGAAACTGACAAAGGCCGAGGATCGAAATCCACCAATCACCGCACATACACTGACCTTAGTTTGACCGTTGTGTTTTCTAAGAGGTCAGGCCTGGGTCTGTTGCACTGATTACTGGCAGCAAACTGGCGTACATGTAACAGTTTGTTTGGGTTTGAACTTCAGAACTCGCCGGCACTCGACTCTCAGAAAAAAAAGAGGAAAAAACAAAATTCTGAGGTCAACTTGTGGAAAGTGTAGTTTTTCAAAAAACAGTAATCGAATCAACATTCGATTATGGAATCGAGGCTAAATATGAATATTGGATTGTTCATTTTATGAATGGATTATTGAATCAACAAACGAAATCATTTTTCCGTGAATGAATTCATTAGTTCGTTAGCGACGGGAACGCTTGACCTGGTTTGACTGTAATCTTTCTCCCTGGAGGAACCATTTTTCAATAATACCAACATTAGAAATGTATTCAAAGAAAATAACAGAAAATGTTTGGAAATAACAGAAGAGAGTTGCCTGTTGCTTCCACTCCTTGGAAGGCCTCTGATCTGGGTTCAAGCCTTGCTTTATCAAGATTCAAAATGTACAAATGCATTGGTACTGGGACCATATTGCTGTCATTAACCCTGCAATGAGGCCCTGTTTAGGTAAAATTCTGACAAGCGACATGGCCATGAAACAACGACTTGAGACGGCTGGAATGGTGACAAATGACAGAAACATGGGTTGACGTTGTGACAGTAGCAAGGAAGGTGCAAAAACAATAGTAAAATGCTGACAAGGGCATAGCTTCCTCCTCAATAATAAAAACAAAAGGTTTCAAAATTCCTATATTGTTTAGCAATAGACTAGCATCAGAGTAGAGATACTTCTAGGTGCTTCTTTCTACTGAAACAAAGTCAAGACTGCATGATGAAGCCAATTCAAAGGAACACTAGCATTATTTTACTTCAACTGTTCATTATTTTACTTCAACTGTTTTATGTATCGGTCAAGTCGAAGCTTGAACATTTGCTGTCCCAGGGAGGAGGGAATTTGATCATCAGAGCCTTCCAGGGTGTGGGGAATTTGATCCCCATGTATTATGGGTGGGGAATTTGAACTGCACCCTCGATTTCATGTGAAATCTCTGGTGTGGCGAGTTATCATGGGGGATACGGTGTTAGAGGCTTTTTGTGGAAAAGATTGTGCCTTTTTGGCCAGTTGGTTACGCGCCTTCAAATACGGCACAAGCTTTGTGCCACATTTGAAATTATTTAAATTTAAATATTTTTAATATAGAGTGTTTTCACTCATGTGGCCAGCATCTATGCAAATTTTTTGGAACAAAAGAAAGCGTTTGCATAAGAAAGGAGTTCAACTCCCACAGGACTGGTTTGGGACACCAACATGGCTGCTGGTTCATTGTTTTGGGACACCAATATGGCCGCCGTGACGTCATGTGAAAACACTCCATTGGATTCAGGCTTTGAATATGTTAGCCTGCGAAAACATCCATTTCTCCTCGCTCTTTGCCACTGGGGACATTTCGCGCGGAGGAACGTCTGCGACTCAGCGGCAGAAATTCCATACTGATGACGTAAAATATGTCCGGATTCCGGTAAGAAGAGCTGATTGGTCGACAGAGTAGTTACATTGTTTTAGCCACTGTTTACAAATGACAGACAAAAGACCAAAGGCCACAAAGGTCAAATGTAAACACGAAGAATCTCTAACAAAACAGTCAATGCTTGTGGAATATAGTCTTCTTTAGAAGAAGCATTTGAGATTTGCTGGAGCTCGTTGACAGATGAACACAACACTTTACCAAAATCGACCAGAAGACACGTAAAATTGGACAAATATATATTTGGAACCCCATGACTACCGAACTTTATCATGTAAACATTGATTTGTGTCATCAGTATGGAATTTCTGTCGCTGAGTCGCAGACTTTCCTCTGCGCGAAACGTCCCCAGCGGCGAAGAGCGAGGAGAAACGGATGTTTTCACAGGCTATGAATATGTGTTTACAATGACATACAATACCTATACCGGCGATTCAATACTACAATAAAAAGCTGAACAGAGGTCAATTACTTTGACCTGCCGTATATATGTTAATTAATAAGGTGAGCGATGATGCATGTCAGTGAAATGGTCATGAAGTAGTTATCTCAGTAGGTGGGATTTTTTTATATAGAATGCTTTGTATGTCGCATGACACACGAAGAAAAGTTGAGCATTCAGTGACCTTGTGGCAGCAATTTCCGCTGCTTTGCACAAGACTTTTGTTCGTAGTAAATACGCTAACAGTGTTTCTCAGTTTTTGTTATATTGAATGCAAATTATTTGCTGTATTTATAAAGATTTTCTTTGACAACTGAAGGCGTTTCTGCAGTCTTTCTGTCATTTATGTGCCTGTGAAATGTCCCCGGGGTGGGGGCATTTGATCACCTGAATGGACCCTACTGTGGGGCATTTGAACGGCATTTTGGCCCGGGTAGGGGGGAATTTGAACAATAATTTTCAAAAAAGTCAAATGCCTGGGGGGTTGCCCGGGGACATGTTGAAGCTTCGATTTGACTGATACCCTGATTGGCCACGATTGTACCTGCACAAAAAATCAGTGCAGCAGTCCTAGCAGCATTAATTTTTCGTAAGTCATGGATTCCGTAAACCAACGAGTTCTAAATAAAGGATAAAGGTGCAGCTTTAAGATCCAATATCACACCGTAACAATAATAGTAAATAGAGTAGTGTTTTACCTGTGGAAAACTGCTCGTGTTAGGTACAGGCATGACATGAACCGCGCTGACACTCAGCCCTCGTGACTTTCATGATAGTGGACAGCTCGGGCGGAGTGGTAACTAACAGCATCAGAGCGAGGCAGGTAAAGGAGCAGGGCGGATCCAGAAACCAACTACCGAAAATTTAGCCTGCAGTACCTAACGGACCACTGAGAAGCTCGTTACGAGAGGAGGACAGGAGTCCATAGAAGGAGGATCAATCGAAGTTGTCGACAGAAATCTTATGAGCGTGAACAACTCAAGCGTCTTCTGCCTTTCCTTTCGTATGTATGTCCTCCTTATCGTTAGCCGACATATATTTCCCACGATGCCACGCGGTCCTTTTAAGCGGCATATGGGGGTCACTTTCACCCTTGGCCCTGGGATAGTACCAGAATCGACCAGAAGATTAGCCTACGGGTGCGGCTACACGCAGGCTACCAAAAGATGTGCCGATACAACGAGCAGGTCTTGAACTAAATTTAGATGTTGTAACCCTCAAACTTGCAAGTATAGTACGTTTAAGATCCTCCGAAAACATTCTTGTTTTCTGCGCTAAAATCGGAAGGAATCCTCATCGATATACTGTAAAATTTCGAAAATAAGCGCCTTCATGTATAAGCCCCTCCAAATATAAGCCCCCCGAACCGGTAACACAAAAAACCCTCCGTTAAATCGCCCCTTCAAATATAAGGCCCCCGGGGGCTTGTACTTAGAAAATTTCCCTTAAATACAAAGTAAAACAAAGCAAAAACGGTAAATTTACTTCCAAATATTAGGCTAGCCCAATCGATTTTGAAACGCAAGTTTCCCTCCGTAGATAATCCCCGCCGAATATAAGCCCCTCCAAAAATAAGCCCCTCAAAAGGGGCTTTTGAAAAACATAAGCCCCGGGGCTTATTTTCGGAATTTTCGGTAGCCTGCTGTGCAGGCGTTTTCTTTGAGCGCGCAATTTGCTCGCGAAAGCGCCATGTTGAAACTTCCCGAAGAGAGGAGGAGATAGGGCTGAGTCAAAGGCCGTAAGGGTTACTATTTCTACTCTCCCCAATCTTCCACTGTCATAAAATCAAAGATGGCAACTACAACAATATTACGAACACGAACAAGGTTTCGCCCACCCAAAATACGCCTGCGTAGTTTAAAGAGGGGGACTGTCTTTTCCCTCATTAGAGGCCAGCGGATAGTTTCTCAGCTTTTTTTGTGTCGTTTTTATCAAGATTTAAGCAAGCAGTTGATCGAAGAAACTCCTTTCGTGGGACTATTCAAATTAGTCCACCATTATGGGGGAGAATTTAAAATCGCGCGCATTTTGTTCTAAAGAAGCGCGCGCTTCCTTGTGTTCATTAGGGACTTTAAGATCCGAGACGCGACGGCTGTAAGACGCGACAGGAAGTAGATTTTCAAAGAGGAGACATGTTGCGCATGCTCAAGCCGTTGTCCTGGTGTCACCACGTCGCGTCGAGAACGTGGGTTTTGCGAGTTTGACGTTCTGCACAAAACGTGAGTATATTTGTTCCTGTGCTTGAATTAAATGATGGTATATTCCTCTAAACATGTAACATCAGCCTCCTAGGATCATTGGACGTAATGTCTGGCGACATTTTAGATCGCAGAGATGGAAGGATTTTGATCATTTTTAAATTTCTTTCAGGTGTACGAAGCTTATAAAATGGCAGCGCCTTCGACTTCGACTTCGAGCGAGGCTTGCAAGTAAGTCACGAGCTAAAACTGGAAATAGTGAATGCTGGAGTCTTCTGCATACTCTTCTCGTCTCTTGTACCGTTGCAATTCTCGATTTATTGCGTTCATCTGCGGCTAAAAGCTAATTTTAAGCCTGTATTATTTAATTTAATTTTATTAAACTGCGTGTGTTTTTATGCTTCTCTTTAGTTCAGTAATGTTTTGGACTCATGATCATGAAGCCATTCTATGCAGAGAAGTCGTCAATGTAAATCCCTACACACAACTAAGAAAGGGTCAACACAAAGAAGTAGAATGTGGGAAAAAATAGCAGACAACTTGAACAAATTCACTGTGCCGAAATTCAGGGTTGATAAGCGATCAGTCCGAGACCACGTGGGAATCCTTGTTTACAAGCATAAGAAGAAACTTCTAGCGGAGGAAAAAGCAACTGGGATAACTCCCGATGAGCCAACGGAACTAGAAAACCTATTGGATATGATCATCGCGTTGGAGGAAAGTGGCGAAGCGGAATTACAGGAAACACAGGGAACAGCTAGCAAAAAACGTCAATACGATCGGGCTAAAGTGAAAGATGTTAGACTAAAAGCGATGGAGAAGCTGTCAGAGACGAAGAAAAGAGGTTCATCAGAGGATGAAAGCGATGACAAACCGAAGCGTCAACCAAGAAGTGAAGGTGATGCTATCGAACAAAGCACAAACAAAGCATTTCTTGGACTTTCTTAAATGATGCCATGGCTATTTCTGCGAAAGAATCGCCGAAGAATCAGACTGATAAAGAGCGGTTTGCAGCCGCGTCGTCTTGCATCGCGACCGAGATCTTAACTTTACTTTTCGCGCGCAAACGACGGCGTTCTACAGGTCCAGTCCTTTATCAGCCACCGCGTTCTAAAAGTCGTCGCGTCCCAGATCTTAAAGTCCCTATTGTTACGTGATAGTAGCAACGCGACAAACAGTATCAAAAACTCTACAATCTAGCACGTACCCTTGAGTAAGAAAGTCGTTTCGGGTAGTTGAGGCAATAATTATGTCCGCTCTTGTGACAAAATCGCACAAGGAAAATATCTTAAGCAAGCCAAAGGAAAGCCGCAGAGAGAGGTCGCAACGAGAATTAAATGAACTGAAAAACCGACTGCGAAAGTATCAACAGCACTTGAATAATGTTGAAGAAATGTACGAAGAAACCAAGGAGGAAATTGAGAGAATCCAGAAACAAGCTGAACACCGGCGTGAAATGGTGAAGAATGAATCAGCAAGAGAAGCAAGGATGATGGCAAAACTTACGGAGATGAATGAAGAGTTCGACAAAGTGAAAGGGGAAAATAAAACAGCAGTCCGTCAAGTAATTTTGGACAAATCAGGGAAAGTTGCTGCAAGACATACCACTGCATATCGAGTTATGCGCTTTGTCAAGATTGGATGCGTCCTGGTGCTGGACTCTGTAGCAGCTTATACTCTATATCATTTCACAAAACCGCTGCTGTTTTTGTAATTGTACACTACAGACCGCATTAGACCGAGTCAATTCTCAGGAAGTTTAAAATAGATTTAAAGTTTAAGCAGCGCTCTGATTTAAGTAACAAACGAACTCTCCCGCGAGATGAACTCGTTTTAAGCTCAACTTTAGATAGCAACCCGGAAAAAAACTACGGTTGCGGTGTCTCATTATTAAAGGCAATTTAACTTACGAAACTTTCAGTACCTTCAAATATTAGTATCTTTTATAGATTCAAAAAATAAAGAAGAGTTCTTTTCATGTTTCTGAAAATCTACACAGACCGTTTTTTATACAATAAGCTTGTGTCAAAGCCACAACTATTTCAGTTGTAAATACAATTTTTGAGATATGGAAAGGTATCAAATTGATTTTATTTAATCCTTGAAACATCGAGTGCACTGACCTCTATGCCTTATAACACGTATTATTAAAAACTGAATCATTGGATAATGCAATTCTAGCATTTTGATTGGCTTAGCCGTTATGGTATATGAGCTAATATACCATGTTCTCCATATATGGTCGGTGTACGCGTCAGTTTAAAATTGGAAGCTAGCTGAGATTTTTTTTCGCGAAGGATAGAACGGCGCCCGAAGCAAATCGTTTTAATTCATTTCTTAGAATACTAGAAATGCAATTTCAGCGCGCAAAAAAAAGACAAAACAAACAAAAAGCCACAAGAGCTTGTCTGAAAGTTTGTCGAAAAACACATGAAAACACATGGAACTAAAGTACCTTGACCAGCTACGAAAGAAGACAAGTGTTGTTTCTTCATGATCGCGAAGCCATTCGCCGATCAAGTCACTCGCCGATAGATAACTGCAGCTTGTTTATCCGACATCAAGAATATAAATCACAAGTAACCAGCTACAAATACAGGCTATGCAACCATTCACTAGAGCAATCGAGGCGGCAGTATAGCTTCTTTTCTCGTTCAGCAAAACCAGCTTGTGGCTTCAAACAACTTCATAACAAGCGACCGAGGTAATACCGGTAGTTTTTCTCCGTTGTTCTTACTTTTATAACTGCACCGAAAATCCAAATTCATAGTAATTTCGACGGCTGTCACTTAAAAATTCCTTTCCTTCACATTATCTGCCAGGTTTTTTAAGCTGTTCTGCTGTGTAAAATCCTAGAATCACGATGAGTTTTTAAAAAACTAATGTTCGTCGCTACAATGTTTTGATTTTTCATTCATGCAGTCTAGGCGAGTCCGTTCGCGCGTTGACAGTTTTGATAGACGTGTGACATGTCAATAGCGGAAGTCCCTTGTCTTTTCCGGTTTGTTCTAGTCGGGGCAATTCAACGAGATTTTGTGGGCGTTTTTAATAAAACAATTATTCCACTCGGGCTTGTTGGATATGAAATGATTATAGCCAACTCGGCGCTATGCGCCTCGTTGGCTATCTATCATCTCATATCCAACGCGCCCTCGTGGAATAATTGTTAATTATATCGTAATTTGTCGCATGGTGATTCCGGGAAAGCAGTTCGTAAATGAACTCAGTGGAAGTGACAAAGTGGCCAGGTAGTGGTTAAGGGGGAGTAAGGTCCTTGCCTTTCCGCACGCTCAGAGAATAAAATTTGACGCGTTTTTTCCGTTCCTTCTCTCTAATTCAGTTTCTCTGTGATCCCTGTGCTAATTAATTGGCGTTTTCGTTCAGAAAAAAATTGTCTTCGCCCGCTAGTGGCCTGTGGATAGCCTCGCACTTCCCTTTTGTTGGTGTTGTCGTTCTCGAGTGAAGCAAGCAATACAGGCTATTTTTTTCTTTTCCTTATTACGGCATATGCATGAATTTTATAGTCACAAGAGTTCTTGTAATTATGGAAGCGCCTGCTAGTTAAAAATTTCTCAGCATTTTTTTTCTTTCTCTTTTTAATTGTCAATAACCTGTTTAACTTGTCGCTTCTTAGGTCTATCCAAAACAAGATGTAGGCATGTGCACACTCAAAAACTTTAAGCGTAGACAATAAGAGAGCTTATTTTACATCTGTGCCGTCATATGTGAGATAGCAACACGCATGTTCGTTTAGTAATGGACAGGCTAGGCTAATTTCCAACGCCGTCGTCATCATCATCATCATCATCATCATCATCATCACTGATACTACGTGTACTTAGAACAAGTGGAAGCTCCTTGAATCATTACAACCTGGTTGACTTGCCTGCTACCAGCTGATATAGCTAAAATTATAACAATGAATCTCGCGCTAGGAAAATTACTATCGGCTGTGTATGCCTCATTCCGTAGAAAAGAAATTAGGGGTTCGGCCACTTCAGCGAATATTGAGTCAAGCAGAGAGGCTGATGATTACAAATGAGGTTTTTTCTGCAGTTAATTAAATTTTCTTAACAGCTTCCATAACATCTTTCAGATCAACTTTATCACCAAATTCCTTTTCTTTATGATCAAGAAGAATTCCATGTTCGCCAGGGCCAACTACAAAGACGCCACCTAAAATCCGGCCTTCTCCATCCAAGTTCCCTTGAACTCCTCGGCTTCTAGCTCGAGAAAAGGACCTCCATACGCTGAGACGTAAAAATCCTGCAAAGAAAACAACATTAAAACAATATTTCTTGGTTACCATAGAGTAAACCTGTGTCCTGCATTCATAAAAACAATCATGAATCTTGCTTCCACCCCTCCCCGCCAACTTTTCCTTTAAGATTCTCAATCCTAGCCTCCCATGCAAACGTTCTTATAGCTTCATCACATGTTCCAGCCTTCCCCACAAACCTTGACAGGAAAAGAGAGTGTGACAGAGCCCTAAGAACATCTGTGTGGGAGGCTAGCCAAATCCAAGAACTCAAAACCCATTGTAAGGATCCTCTGTGTGCAAATGTCTCTTATTTTTGTTTATTTTCTTCAATTCACACAGAAAAGGAAGCCTTTAAATGTCGTTGATGAAAGTAACGTGATACAACTCACTTTCACTCTAAACATGACTACAGTACAGTTTGTCAAAAACGTCAGTCACTGTCAACAACAACAAGGCCACATTCACCCAGACCATCGTACTCAACATGAAATTTCTTTATGTGACATAGGGAGCAAAGGACAGACTGTCACCTCTGAATATGTGACAAGTCTACCTATGACTAGTGGTGTGGAAACATTAAGTCCAAATATAAAGAACTGGTCAACCAGATTTTTGGTAACTACATCAGTCAAGTAGATGGGCAAATAAACTTGAAAGAGTGTAGGCATCCCAGCGCTTTACTGCCTGAGTTGTAAAAAAGGGTTGAAAAAGGGATTATTCAGCTTACCACTAAGAAACATCCATCTCTGCTCAGGACCATAAAATTTTCTCTGAAAGAGTCAAAGTATGCAATCAATAAAAACCAGATTTACAGTAGCATGAAAAAAACAGCCGACATTTTGTGGCACCACCTCTCGTTTTCCCACGAAATGACATCGGAGGAACAAGCACAGTAATTCCATGCTGATGATGTGTCACTACCCAGATCTGGGTAGTACCTCTGATTGGTTGAAGCAAATTTTTCTCACGACAAGATGAATCAGAAGTACTTCCCAGATCTGAGTAGTGACATATAATCAATATGGAATTTCTGTGCTCATTCCTCAGATGTTATTTTGATGGATGATCAGCACACCACTAATCCACATCCACTCTATCAAGGGTCTTTGGAATTTCCAAAGGGTGAAAAGGGGAATTTTATAGGCCAATTTTTTTGAAAAACGTATGAACTTAATATGATCTGGTATTTTGAGAGAGTGGTATGGGCATGCAAGGAGAGTAAGGGGAGAGTTGACAAATATTTCTGGTAGAACAAATTTAGGTTATTTGAAGCTGACTGCTAACAGGAATAAGTCAGTGGCCCCTACCATATAGAATAAGAGATGGGTGGCCACAAGCTTTGAATTCTCACACAAAATTTTCTGGCTGAAAATGCAAGGCTAATATGCTACCCATCCATTATTATAAGCAAGTGCTGATACTAGGTGATTTTCACTTTTAGACTATAATAATAATTTTAGAATGATAATGATGACATAAAAAGAATTGATGTAAAACAAAATTATCTCCGAGTGAAAAACTTTTCTAGTCTCTCTCATTGTAAAATGCAGAACATAAATGTACACTGATAAAACCTTTTTAAAAATTCATTGCACCATTTTCATATTTTTTCCTCACAAATTCTACCCCGCGAGCAGAGGCTACATTTTCGCGGTATGAGCTGGTGCACAAAATCAGCACTAAAATAAGAAAATACATGAAACTATCAGCTAAGCACTTTACTCATTTCCAAGGCTGTGCCCTAAGAAAAATTGAAGGGACCCCTGTGCTCTGAACTTGTGAAATTCAGTGTGCCCAGCATATGATTTCTATGAAAAAGCTAAGGGGCCACCGGGCTCTGCTAGAGCACATCCTTGATTTCTGTACCAACTTTGAAGTGAGTGACACCCCTGACCCTGAGAGCCTTGTTCTTTTTTATTGCTCCTCACAAAAGCCATTTATTATTACTTTCAATACAACTCATAGCTGCTGTGTGTTACCTCTTCATCCAGGTAAATTGGAGAACTTAGGTAAGGTTGAAACTCCTTAACTCCCTTTTTCTCATGAACTATCCCCACAAGGTTTACACCTCTCTGGTCAAGTTCAGGTTTGAGAGAGGACAGCTCAGAGGCCTCCTGAAAGAGAAAATAAGTAAGTTAATGACAGCAGACCATTTCCTCGATGACTAGACTCTTTTCAAAATGAGGGTAAGTGTGAAGTCTTTGATAAACAAGGCTGTGCTTTAAGAAAAATTAAAGGGTCCAGCCCAGTGTTTAGAGCGTTTGAAGTCTAGGGTGCATTATTATGTGTATATAGCCCATATCTTGCAATACCCCCCTCCCCTGGATGTAAAAATCACAAAGTACTGACAGAACTACTTGATATACTTGTAGGACTACCATTTCTTCTTTGTTTAATGTTGCCACATGAAGATCTTACAGTTTTTGGCAGACTAATGCAGTTGAATGAACTATATGTAAATTAACTCTTATCTTGTGTTCTTTCAGCGTTAAAAAGATATATCTTACTTCATACAATGTAGGACGCACTTAGAAAACAGTTTACATTGTGGTCCACAATTAAAGAGAGAAAAACAAACATGCCATTACAAGTCCTCAGTAATAAAAAATTAAGAAATTTATGTGACATTTTCAGTAGGTCATTTTATGTGTTAAAAAGACGGACGATCAGTACCTCCCTACACAAAAATCATCCTGGCCGTCGAACAACCATTATGACGGCACCCGATTTTCTCCACAATTCAGAGGCCATGATCTCCTTTCCTGATCCATCTAAAGCCTTGAGTTTGATGGCACTCAAATAAGCTAAATCTGGTCTTGGACTGTTTTTGTACCAATCCCAGTTTGCAGCAAACATGCCTGCAGCGATGGCTGCGACTCCACTGGCAAGTAACCATGCCATCATCTATGACACCTGAAAATTGTGGAATTTAAGATAAACATCATTAACCAAACTAGTTAAACTACAGCTGTGCTGCATTTGAAGGGGTACATAGAATGCATGGGGATAAATGGACAGCTCATTATTCCTCTTCACCCACTGAATGAAATCCAATACCACCAATTTTGTAGAAAGTGACCAAAATTAATCATACCAGGCAAAAGACTCAGGGGCACCCAATGACTGTTTCCTGCACAATATCTGTTCAGAGAAGCAGTTTTGCCTAGAATTTTATATCACTTGAGGACGGCTAAAAATGACTAAATGACCATTTCATTCATGTACAATTTTCAAAGCTTTTCAAATAAATTCCCTAAATAAATTCCCTACGATTTTCTTAAGTTTAATTTTTCACATTTCACTCTTCAGGTAAGGCTATTTTTGTAGAAAAAAGGAAATCTAAAATTTTCTTATCAAAAAACGTGATGAAAAGAGAAATCAGTAAAATTCTCACAGTTTTCGTAATTATACATTAAATTGCATCTAAAATTTTGGAGAAAAATAATACGGAAGCCCCCGTAATTTTGAAAAGACTCAAGTTCCCCTAGTAGGATGACTGAACAGAAACAAATTTTAGAGCCCTAGAAATATGCATTATCTAAAAGTTTGTGACTCTGGATAGCCTAAAAAGTGCTTTTAATGTATTTAAGAGGAAACCGTCATTGGGTGCCCCTGAAAACTGGCTATGAATGAACATGATTGACATTGTATCAAATATAAAGGTCTATAAACAAGTAAAAAAACCACAAATCAACGGTCATGTAATCTACACCTTGTGTAACCACACCCCCTACAATTTTTTTGTTGACCCGCAACATTATAATTCGCATGTGTTATACAGCTTGCTTATTATAAAAATAAACCTATTTCTTGCCATGAGGCACCTGCACAGAACACCTACACTGCACTTAGCGGTCATTTAGTATCAGAGTAGTGTCAATCTAGCGTAGTATCGCATGGAACAAAAGGTGGATTCGTAACGGGCCGATTCAACGTAGGTGCTAGCATGTAGTACTTGCCCACGTAGACGACCAGAAAAAAGCGGGGTCCGGCCTAGAAAATAATTTTTCTCGGACCTCGGGGCTTTAATTTAGCCTGAAAATAAGGAGGGGCTCGGACCCCTCCCCTGGATTCGCCAGTGTGGAACAAGGCAGTGAGCTCTTCTTGAAGAGTGTAGCCTAGTGAATCATCCCACTTCAAGACGTTCACTATCATGTTCCTTTTTGATTGCAGACTTAAGACTAAATGGCTCAGCATACGACAGAATGTCAATGGGTAAAGTAGCTTTTCACCTGTGAAAAGGAACTTAACTTATCAACGAGCAAGTATTCACATACCTTTTGCTCGACCAACACATCGATAGAGAAATTTGCAATGATACTGCAAGCAAAACACGAACCTCCTTCGTTCGAGGGATAACAAATTCCACCTCGGAAAATGGACCAATCACAAGCTGTAAAACTCCTATCTATTGTTCCCTTGTCCAATCAGCGCAAGGCTATACCTGGTGCATTGTGGGATGATTTTCTTTAGCTGGCAAAAGCGCGTGATTTTGAACAACAAGATGTCTGCAAAGTGGAGTAAATATGCGGCCTTTACTACGTAGTTTTTATGGGATTTTGGCATGGAAATGACGTTTGTTGTGGACGATGTTTAAGATCGATGCATCTCGCAGGTAATCATTGGCTATTTAGTTATGCTGTCTCTTCGAGGACTCTTGATCGCAAGGAGAAATGCTCAGTTTCGACTGGCGACCGGGATTTATAAAACTCGATCTCTTGCGTTTCCGATCGCCAATGTTTAGTACACTTTCTGAGGCTAAATCCTTGCGTTTTTGATAGTGTATAGTGTAATTACTATATCGAAGCGATAGCTTTGGTGTTTTGTTGACATTTTTCAGTGTCAAGTGACTACGTGTAACGCTAGATGAAAATCGTGTCTGAATTGCAGACTTGGAGTTTCATCGGTTCCCATTTCGACGATCCGGTCGTCAGTTCGCTTCTTGCATTTGTTGAACACTCTCTTCTTGTGTCTGTAGTTAACACTTAGACATTAATAAACTTGTCAGCCATTCTTGTTAAGAAAAAATTTAAACTGTTCCCGAGCATCGTATGGAAATTAACATGTTTACCAAAGAAATCTTCAGGCTGCGATTGCCTCGATCTAAAAACTCTTGCAAAAGGGTAGTGACTTTTCAGTCTTTTGTTATAAAATATCTACTATCGTTCTTTATACTTCAGTGACGTTAGTTTTAGACGTCGTTAGAAAGTATAAAAGTAGCAGTAAATGTGTTATTTGCCGATTTTCGCTGGTTAATTTTAAAAGTTATATTCCGTTTAGTAAACAATTGTTTGTTTGCGATATTTTAGTTAAGCTTAGTGCATGGACAATTTACACTCATTCAGTGCATGATAATGTCCGAAAAGATAAGCTTATATTTCACCACGCAAATGTTAATTTCACTCATCCGAAACCTTAAATTAATCCTGTACATTTTACACATTCCGGCGTTATATATTTCAGCATTGGAAAACGATCAGACAGTCAACAAGAGATATTACTGTTTTACAGCCAGATATACGAATTATGTAGCTGACCTGTTGTATATTTTTAACAGTAATCATTTTCTTAATACAGCATACTTTTTGACCAGTAACTCCAGTTTATTACTGTGAGTATTGATCCCCTTTTGGGATTTGCAAGTGTTTTTTGTCAGTAACATTCACTATCTAACTGTGTCTTACACACCAGTGAGTATTCCATGTAAGATGCGTGAAATCTTGAAATGCATGAAAATTTGTAAAATAAAAATACAAGTGGTTAAGTTTTGGGGGCTGAAATTCAAAGAAATGCTTGTTTGAAACAGTTTTCATCAGAGCCCTTTTTTGGGGGGAGGGGGGGTTGAAACAAATTAACTTCTAGTTTCTTGTTTTTACCATAACCTGAGGCTAAGCTAGGGGAAAATGAAGGGGTTTGAATTTTTTAAAAATAAAGTAGAATTTGAACTGAAAAATGTGATACTGGTTTTCACTTGCAACACAAGTACAAGTGTAAGAGTCTTTATTCTTTTTCACCCTACAAAATGCCAACTAGATGCAATAAGCCCTAGGATTTCAGGGTAATGATCATTTCTGGTACCATCTTGTTACTTTGTTTATAAAAAAAATAAAATTCCCTTGTTGTCCAAGAGCAAAAGTAAGGCACCAGAGCACTGCTAGAGCATAGCACTGGTTCCTTACTACTGTCGTCCGAAGGGTTGATTTTGAATTTCTCATGGATGTGTAGTAGGCATATAGTTTACTAGTGGATGCTGATGTTGTTTGTCACAAATCTAACGTGAAACAGCTTTACTACTCAAAACAGTAAAATGCATGCTCTGTTTAGGCTATATTTTTATGTTACATTCTGATTTATAATCTAGAAGATTTTTTCAATTTTCACTTGACATTTCTACAATTAAATGTGATTAAAATGTTCACTTTACAGTAAAAACTGGTTTTTCCCTTACTTCCAGCTATTTGCTTCGAGCTCCCGATAACTCAGACTTTTTTTGATTTCCCTTGAGGGTTCAAGTTATTGGGAGTCGACTGTACCACAATCAGGAACTTCACAAAATTTAGTCATTTCAAGAGTCAGTTGACAAATCACCTTAAAACTGAGGCAAGGGCAAGAATGCATTATTAGTGACCTTTCCACTAGGTTCTCTTGTTTTTTGGAACTTCTCGTTTTATTATCATTATTTTCATTGTCCATAGTTTTTCTTTTCACTAGTTTTTCCTGAATTTTTGAATTTACCATTTTATTATCATTTTTCTGTTCATAGTTTTATATTTATAACCAATTGATGAGTTGAATAGTAGGTTAGGTGGTGTAGTAGTTAGTCACAGGTGAAAACACATATTTTTAGTTTATGGATATACTGTGAATAAACCATTTCTTAGCCTTTGAAAACAGCCATTTCTCCTTGCCCTTCGCCACGGGGACATTTCGCGCAGAGGAACGTCTGCGACTCAGCAAAAGAAATTCCATGCTGATGACGTAAATCAATGTTTGCATAATATATCTGGTAGTCATGGGGTTCCACATCCAAACTTCTTTAATTTTACCTTTCTCCTGGTTGATTTTACTAAAGTGTTGTGTTCATCTGCGAACGAGCTCCAGCAGAACTCAAATGCTTCATCTAGAGAAGAATATATTCCACCAATTTTGACTGTTTTGTTAGAGATTCATCGCGTTTACATTCGACCTTCATGGCCTTTTGTCTTTTGTCTGTCATTCGTAAACAATAGCTAAAACAATGTAACTTCTCCATCGACCAATCAGCGCATCTGACCGGATTTTACATCATCAGTATGTCTCTGAGTCCCAGGCGTTATTCCTCACGAAATGTCCTCAGCGGCGAAGAGCTAGGAGAAATGGCTGTTTTTGTAGGCTACCATTGTTATTATTGTTATTATTAAATGCTGTAAGTTGTAAAATATAGGACTTGGTCTTTATTTTTTTCGGCGTCAAACTTTACCTTTGTATTTTTGCCTTCCATCTCCTTATTGATTACTCTTAATGGGAAATGAAATGACCACCACTATTTAGAACGTGAGAAGGGCTGTGACTGGGATTGGCAGGCTTAACACAAACACCCTTTCATTTATCAGTGTGCAAAATCAAATTTTTCCATGGATTTTCAAGGTATCAACATCTTTGTAATCAAAACCTAGCTTTACATTTTAGTAAATATTCTTGTTCAGTATTCTCATGTTCAAGTTTTTTTTATTCTGAATAGGAAACTTTAACTTTTATGGAGAAAATAATTACAGTCAAGCAAGAGCCTATAGATGATGCCTACCCTACACCACCATCAACTACGAGCGCATCTGTGACCACTACTGTCACAACTACAGCAACAGTAACTGTTCAAAATGTAACAACAAAAACTACAACAGCACCAACATTAGCTACAGGAACAATAACATCAGTGGCTGCTGCAGCTGGCAGCAAAGCTTCTGAACCACAGATATTCTTTATACAGCCCAAACCAGAATTGAATAAAACACCATGTTCCGTGGGAGCTGTTGCTCAAGGTAAACTAGGGACCTTACTAAACTACAACAGCGACAGCAAGCAGAATGTCAAAAAAGCAATAAGTTTAATGAGCAAAACAACAACTCTGCTTGTGCATCATGCTTTTTTGTACATTTCTTTGCTGTCCCTGCACAGCTACGATGTGAAATGGCCAAGTTTTAAGTTTACTTGAGAATGGGAACAGCAAGGCGATGAATTCTGTCTGAACCCGGGCGTGGTCTCCTCTCTTCAGTTCCACCCCAAATTCCCCTCTTTTAAGTAACAGGGCAAATTGGGATAACTGCAAAAAAGTTTAAAAGGATGCAAAGTCTATTTTTCAGTGACGTTTTTATGTGCATTGCCGTTGTCGGATCGTAAGGTCCCTAATAAGTCAACTTCTTGAAACCCCATCTCTTCAACAACTTTCAGCCACACAAAGACAGGAGTATTTTGCTAAGATGTTGTCCAAGAATTCAGCCAAAGTTGTCTTTTTTTACTTTGCTATGTTTTGGCCTCACCCTAGTGTACAGGTAATACCATATATACATGTATATATTTTTTGCTGTAGGGAGCAGCATTTTTTCAAAGAAATTTTGCAGGATATCCTAAGCCTGTTGTAAGTTCAGGGTACATCTTATAACCAAGTACTGTATCTTCTCAACGTGCAAAGAAAGTCATGTATGATAGCCTGGGGCTAGTGGATTTTGCTATTGGGCTAGTGATTTTTGTTCTTAACTTGCCCGACAGGCAAGTGCTTTTGTGGGGGGAAATTCATATTACAGAAGGATTGTAATCAATCCTGCTAATCAAAAAGGGTTTTAGGGCTAGTTGAAATGACTTGTGGGCTAGTACATGCTAGCTACAGCTTGCCCAAATGGCAGGCTGTAAAACTGACTTTCTTTTCACCCTGCTTCTGCCTACAAAATTTTTTATTTATTATTCTCTTTCAGGTGCTGCAGGCACATCAACCACTGTCAGGACTGTAACAACAGGTGGCCAAGCCAAACCACCTCTAGTAGTTATATCTGGTAGTCCTATTAAACTAACACCTTTATCAAGACCAGGCGGAACTTTAACAGGGGCGCAAGCAAGCACTGGTACTGGGGGCAACATTACATGCACCTTGGTTCACGTCCAACCATTTAATGCAACAACAAAACAAAATATTGCCCCAAAGGCAGGGGGCTCACCAAGCAAGCAGGCTGTTCCTGTGCAACTTCAGAAAATTGTACCCATAAGTGTAGCTGCCACATCTCTTGCAAAGATACAATCAGGTACAGCACCTCAGTTTACATTGGCCACTCCTACAGGCCCAGCAACAAGTGTGCGGCACATTGCTCCCAAAGTAAACATTGTACAGGCAGTTCCGAGTGGTCAGGCTGTGCAGATAACACCGGTAGTCAGGAACATTGCTCCAGCTGAAAAGCCAGTCCAAATTCCTCAGCAGGTATTGAATTTGTTACCACTGTTTTCAGGGCTGTGTTGTATTAAACAGCACCTAGAAACCTCCTGCATATAGATGTTGTTCATAGGCAATAGCAAACCTAGGAATTTTTTCATGGGGCCTAGAACCTTGTATACACTATTAAAACTGTTTTACAGTTTATCATTTCAACCCCTTGCTTGATGGGTGTATATGTGACGTGGCGGACCCCCAAGACCCTCCTGCATATAGATGTTGTTCATAGGCAATAGCAAACCTAGGAATTTTTTCATGGGGCCTAGAAACTTGTACACACTATTAAAACTGTTTTACAGTTTATCATTTCAACTCCTTGATTGATGGGTGTATATGTGGCGTGGAGGACCCCTGAGACCCTCCCTTTAAATCTGTCACCAATATTGGTGACTTGAAAAGCTAAATATTGTGGGGATTTGTTGACTGCACTTTCATGATTTTTTTGTACATTCTTTGAGAAAATAGGCTGGATCTACATGTACTAGCACACACTGACAAGCCAATTGTGATAGTTCAGTATTTGTTGGTACAACAGCCTTGTTGGTCACACTAAAATGTCATCTTCCCATACTTTCACAAAACAAGTTGTTATATTGACTCCTATACCAAATTTAAAACATTGAATAGCCAAGGGTATTCCAAGTGACTTCAGCCAATCAAGACGTGTGAAAATTGCCCTCCACTGATTTGGAAAATTCTAAACCCCAGTGAACAATTGTGAAAAAGTGCTAGATACATCCTCAGGGCCACTGCTTTTTCTCATCAGCCTGTTTTGTACTGTTCTTGCTATTGTTTTTGCATGGTTAACCTAACTAGGCATTGGCATGCACACTGTATGTATTTTAACCATTCACATTTTACTTTTTCCCAGTTGGCACCAAAGCCACCTCAACCCCAGGTTTCAAATGCTGCTCAACAACCAAGACTCATTGTTCCGGCATTACCTTCAAGCATACCACAAATTACTGGCACAGGAGCCACTGGCAACATTCAGTTTCCACATGGAGTCATCAGTGGAGGTGTCGTTTACCTTCCTCAGGTATGAGAGCTTTCAACCAGATGCACCTGTCGATCTCAAACATTCATAATGAGCGCTTACCATATGGAAATGTTGGTGAAAAATTTCTGTCAAATGGTCCTGGCATTTTTTGGGGGCACCAAAAAGAGGAACGGGATTGAGTTGTACCATTTACAAAATACTGGTAAATTTTTCGCTTTCTCTCGACATGAAGCCTGGCACGAGTAATCCAAACAAATGGTACTGAAAATTTCAGTCGTTTTGGTAAAAACAGGAAAAGGTAATACAGCTGTACCTCAAAAGGTATTACTTTTTTGGGGGAAAATTTCCACCTTAGTATTCATGGTGATAAATTTACTAACCTTCTGTTGAACTGTATCACTATATTTATTTCAGCAAGCTCTAGCCTCTGGAGGCTTTCCAATTGCAGTACCTTTACAGGCCAATACCCTAAATACAGGAGCCCAACCAGGATTATCAGTTAATGGGTAAGAGAGTCAAGGATTATGCCCTTACTGTAACTTAACTTCCTGCAATAATGCTTACAAAGGAGAGATTTTTTGGGAAAAATAAATATTAACTTGTACATGTATGTACAAACTATCTTTGTATTCATGTACAGTTAAAACAGCTGTTAATTAAGGCCTTTTAAAAAAATGTTTCATATTTCTGCCCACTTCATTTTTTGGGGCCACCTCTCTTATTTTTATTATTTGTCATTGGTAAAGTTGGAACAAACAAGAACCAACAATAATATTTATGCCAGATACAAGCAAAAGAAAAAAAACATGAGAGCTTTCAGGCAGGCTCCGTCATAAAAGATAGCATTTCTTGAATACTGAGTTTGATTGAATGATCAAATGCAATGATCAAATGCAACCTACCTACCCTATATCGTAGGGTGCATCAGTTTGTTGCTAAAATAAACCAAATTTGTGTTTAATCAATATCTGATGTTTCATTTATTGATACTTGACCAATGAAACTCCAAGTTAACTACAGTGGAACCCCATTAATATGGCCACCATTGGGCCCAAAAAAATTGGCCATATTAATGGTGTGGCCGTATTATCGAGGGATTTTTTTACAAGAAAATGTATGGCAGTTTTTGTCAGGCAGCCAAAAAAAGTGGCCATAATAACGGGGTGGCTGTAAGGCAGGGTTCCACTGTACTTCTCTCTTAGGGAGGGTAATTTAAAGAAAGCATTCAATTGAAATGACACAAAAAAAATAATAGTGTCTGCTCAGTCTCTTTTTTATAGAAATCTGGATGCGAGGCCTTTTCTTTTTTTACTTGGCCTGCGTTAAGTGGTGACCACCTACTTTGTGACAGTGTAGACTAAACTGTCATCGGTAATCCTAATCTCCAGGTTGTTATTACGCATGCGTCGCATGTATGTAGCGAGCATTCGTTTGGACTTCTACTAAGAATGAATGGAATGCACAAAATGTAATTTGATCACGTGAATTTCCACCTTCTACCCCTCGTATTTCTGATCACACATGTTTTGACCATCTGTCACATTGCAAAAGCGTTTGGACCTCCAATCATTGTCGCCCACACTCCCTAACCTTTGGTTATTAGTAGCAATAACTTTAAAAGAACCTCAGAGATTCTCCATTGTTCTCTATATTCAATTCCTATAGTGATGTTGAGGAGATTTGTTGAATGATCAGAACTGTTTTACTAGTGATCATTGTTATGGGTTGAAGGGTTAACCAAGGTTCAATTCTATTCCTATTTGAAACAAATCAAATCTGTTTAGTACAATGTATAAACATTGGTTCAAGCTGAAGGTATAAATGAGGTAACTTGCCTTATTTCTTACTGGTTACTTTTTTATTGTTCATAGGAGTTCACCTGAATCCTCACCTCCCAACAGACCACGTAAGCCATGTAACTGCACCAAGTCACAGTGCCTCAAACTGTAAGTCAAACTCTTTTCAGTGATTATTTACAAGATGTATTTTTAATAATAAATTTTATAATGAGTATTTCTTTTAAAAAACAAAGAAATGTTTTGTGAAGTACGAAAAAAGGGCGCTGGCTCTTTGACTTTTACATTTCACATTCTCTCATCCTCACTGCTTTGTCTTTTCTTTCCCAATTTTTGTTTTGTTTTGGTCTTTTTTGTTTTGTTTTTTGTGGTGCTGCCTCCCTTTTGGGAAGGCGTAGTCATCATTCGTGTCGTGGCGTTATAAGACAGGATAACTCAGTAAGTCCGTAGGTTTACAGTAAACTTCTACAGGAAAGCTAATACCACAAT